TTGTTTTGAGATAGGGTCCCACTCTGTTGCCCAGGCTGGTGTGCAGTAGTGCTATCATAATTCACTACAGCCTCGGCCTCTTAGACTCAAGCGATCCTTCCACCTCAGTCTCCCAAATAGGCAGGACTACAGGTGTGTGCCACCAGCACCAGCTAATTTTTTTTTAAGAGGTGAAGTCTCAATATGTTGCCCAGGCTGATCTCAAGTTCCTGGGCTCAAGTGATCCTTCCATCTTGGCCCCAGAAAGTTCTGGCATTTCTGAGCTATCACATTCAGCCTTGACCTTATTTTGAAATAGGGTTTTTGCAGATGTAGCCAAATTAAAATGGGGTCCTGCTGAATTATGATAGGCCCAAATCCAATGATTGGTGCCTCTATAAGAAGAGGGCAATTAGTATATAGAAACACAGAGACAGACACACATAGAGGGGAGAAGATCGTGTGAGGATAGGGGCAGAGATTGTAGTTATGCTGCCACAAACCAAGGAATGCCAAGGACTGCTGGCAGACACCAAAGGCCAAAAGAGGAAGGAGGAAGCATGGCCTGACAACATCCTGATTTCCAACTTCTGACCTTCAGAACGGTGGCAGAATACATTTCTATTGTTTTAAGCCACCCAGCTTGTGGTAACTTGCTAGGGCAGCACTGGGAAACGAACGCATCATTTCCAATGACTCACTTGGGAAATGTGAGCTTCCAATCCCTGAAACACTCGGTCTGTGAGTTTCCAAGGCACCCACAGCCAAGAAGATCAATCGCCACCTCGGCAAAGCTGCTCCAACCTAATCTTCAGAAGCAGGTAGCACTATTGTTACACAATGGGAGCCAGAAGGAATATGTATGGCACCCAGGTATCTACTGGGGTCCCTCTTAGTACTTCCTTGCACAAATTTGATGATACATGGACAACTGCAGCAATCCTGGTCTGAGAAGGTAGAGTAATCAGAGGATCAAGCCCCTTAGGGACGAAGGTATTGGTCATGCCACAGATTAGCCACAGAGACCAGCAGAGGTTCAGACAGAGGGTGAGGCTAATCTACAATGGATAGCAGAAGAGGGAAAACGAGACTCTGTGGCAGCTGTAGACAAGCTGGGGCTGCAAGGGCTATAGCTAATCCTTTTAATTTTTCTCTCCTAAATTATCCCCTCCTCCATCCAGAAAGGAGGTCCACGGGTGTCCTGGAAAAGCCTCTCCCAGTCCCTACACAAAGACATGGGTCTGATGGGTGCCAAGCATGGACTACAGAGGATGCTGAGAGAGCCACTGGCTCGGGTCCTCTCTCAGAAATGATGGGCTCATTGCCCGGCTGCTGTGATCGTTGCAGAAGACATCTCGCAGCTGTTCACTCTCCAGCCTTTGCCGGAGAAAACTATCCCAACAGGATCACACCTCCTCCTAAGGGCAGCCTGCATCCTGATGACCTAACAATGCAGAAATATTTTACGTTGTTCCTGGCATCCTTGCTTCAGCTCCCCAGAATCTAGACATGCTGAACATTTGTAAGATGAATTAGTCTAATTAAATAAAGATTAGCTGGATAATTGTACAGTGTTTCATAATCCACACAGACCTAGAGTGGTTTCTCACTTTTGGTGGACTCCAGAATCACCTGGAAAGCTTCTAAAATATCCTGGTATTTGGGCTCCACTTCTCAGAGATTCTGCCTTAAATGATTTTGCATGGGGCTGAGCCTGAGTATTCTCTAAAACCTTTCCAAGATCGTTAATGTGCAGCTAAGTACTGAAAACCACTGACGGATCAGGAAAATCAGTCAGTGGGGAGCGTGTAGAGAAGTGACCCTGAATATTTATCCTCTTTGTACTCTCATTTTCTGCCAACTCATAGTTGCTTGCTTTATCTCACCAAGGGCTGAGGGCTGAGGGATCCCAACAGTTTTCCCTGTCGTGTAGGAAGCACTTAGGAATACCAGCCAGAAGATTGCTTTAGTGTGACTGGCACATTCTAGCAGTTTGGTTGGTTATGCTTTGCACTTACTTCCCTGTCCAGCTGTTCCTGTGTTCCTTACCTTGAAAATCTGTATCCCTTTTGTCTGCCTAGGTTCCTGTTCTTCCGCAGTTCTTGCCTTCAGCAATACACATTGGCCTCCAACCCTGCTCACCTCCAATCCTGAAATTCCTGATCTAATAGCTGGTCCCATCTTTGTAGGATGCCCCATCAACCACCGCGCCCTCCTTTTCCCAGTGCTCCATGGAGGCAAGCAAAATGAGACAGGGGTGACACATTTGCTTCTTGTTCTACTCTAAGTATATAGTACCACAGACAACTTTAGGAGGGTTGACTTTAGTAAATTTCCTAGGAAAATTTCAAATTCATCCATTTCTTCTATTTTTTTATTTGCTAGCAAAGACTCATGTATATACAAAACTAAAAATGCTTTAAATAAACTTTCATTCCAGGAAGAGATGACATTTGGAATCTCTTTCATTTACCACTGCCTTCAATTACCAGATGGTAATCTCTATTCAAACTCGGTCTGATTTTCCTATACTTCTCTCAATCTGATGAATACTAAGCTACTAATGATTCCTCATGAGAGTTTTATAAAGGCAAAAGAACTTCTGCACCCCCCTTAAATAAACAACCTTATTACTGACAGATTTTTAGTGGCACAGAACGTTTCCCATCTTGTTTACCTATCTGTGACCTCAACTGCAGAAGTATTTCTACCGTTGCTTATTCAAATCATTTTTCATATTTTGCTGCTGTGAGCATACCAAAACCTAATGTTTGCTATAGCTTTTCTTTAAATTACATTTTAAAAGCTATAGTATATGCACTGAAATAATACATATTTAGGGATTATTTTTAAATTGGCTTTTGCCAAAGTTATAAAATAGAGGTTGCTTGCAAAATAATTTTTTGTCTGTGTGTACATTTGCTGTTGGATATGATTATTCAGCTATTTATGGCTGATGTGTCACAGATGCAATAATTTTTTTTAAAGATGCTTAGTGCCATCTGTCATCTCAGTAATAATTTCAAAGACAAAATTTTGAAGAAGAGAGAAATAAAGGAAAAGAAATGGAGAGTCTTTGCAATTGTAAGTCCTGGCTAAACCCTGTAAAAGTTAACATTCCAGACCAACGTCCGTCCCTATCTTCTCAAACTGTCTATCCCTGTAATGGCTATTTATTTATTTATTGAAGCAGAGTTTCACCCTGTTGCCCAGGCTGGAGTGCAGTGGCACGATCTTGGCTCACTGCAACTTTTGCCTCCCAGGTTCAAGTAATTCTTGTGCCTCAGCCTCCCGAGTAGCTGGGATTACAGGCACATACCAACACACCTGGCTAATTTTTGTATTTTTAGTAGACACAGGGTTCCACCATGTTGCCTGGGCTGATCTCGAACTCCTGACCTCAGGTGATCCGCCTGCCTCAGCCTCCCAAAGTGCTAGGATTATATGCGTGAGCCACTGCAACTAGCCCAACATATTTTAGATTAAATTATTCTTCTAACTTGTCTCCAAAGGTCCATTTTTGCCCATTGCTTCTTTTATTTTTCTTCCTTTTCATTACAGAATCTTGGATTACCTACACTGACCCTGTCTATAAATCACAGTCCTCCAAAGAGAAATGAAAATACCTTCTAATAACTCCTAAAATCATCTCTTCACTGCAATCTTCATATGTTAAAATGTATTCCTGCCAAGTATGTTTGAGGTACTCACGGTTTTTAAACTATGGTAATTGAATTCAGGGTTTTAAAATAATATGCACGTGGTATGTATTAGTCTGTTTTCACACTGCTGATAAAGACATATCCAAGACTGGGCAATTTACAAAAGAAAGGGGTCTAATGGACTTACACTTCCACATGACTGGGGAGGCCTCACAATCATAGTGGAAGGTGAAAGGCAAGTCTCACATGGTGGCAGAAAAGAGAAGAGGGCTTGTGCACGGAAACTTCCATTTTTAAAGTCATCAGATCTCATGAGACTTATTCACTATCACTAGAACAGCAGAGGAAAGACCCACCCCCATTATTGAATTACCTCCCACAAGTCCCTCCCACAACACATGGGAATTCAAGATGAGATTTGGGTGGGGACACAGCCAAACCATATCATGGTATAATACAAAATTTTCATTTAGTAGTGAATTTAGATTTCATATGCCTGTCCATTCTTTAGTTATATAGATAGATGGATTTTATTCCCTCTACTCTTCTCATTTTTTATTAGAGCATTGAAATTCCACAGCAAAACCAATGTAGTTCTTGAAAACTCAAAAGAAGAAAAAAATAAAATTCATTATGGTGTCATTCAGAGAAACTGATAAAATCTTGTGACACGACACACTTTTTTTTTTTAGAATGTGGAGGGAAATAATAGACTAGAGGACACTCCACAACAATCAAGACTTCTGATCTTTTTTAGGTAGCATTTTAGAATTTTCTTGCTCATGCTACCCTTGATTTATTCTACTGCAGACGTTGATAGTCACTCTTAGGAAAAACAAAATGACAAAGGAATATATATTTTCTGATCAAAAAGAAAAATTGACGTAAAGAATTTTAAACGCATCAATTTAACCACCAAATGATACTGAAAACATTTAACATACATATATGCAGGCATAGATATACATGTGTGATATAATTGAGATTAAAGTATAAATTCTGTTTAATAATCTGTATGCATATATTAACTTTTTCTATCTCATAAAATATTTCAGCCATAAAACTATAATGACTTTAACATAATTTAACTTACTTAAGCAGTTTATTTAACCCAAATTATTTTATCTTTATTTACACGACTCATGTCTTATTTCTCCATTATGAATAATGCTGCAAGTGTATTTGATAAATATTTAAATCAGACATTATTTCCTTAATAAACATTCCCAGAAGCGAATATATTAGCTAAATATTTTCAAATTAATTTTAAAATCCAGACTGTTAAAATCACATTTATAAAAGCTTTAATAAAGATAAAATAATTTAAGTATAGCATCCATCAAAAGAAAAACAGTTTACCTTGCGCAAAAAGAACAGGATGAATTTTAAACCCTCCTCCATTTTTCAACCGTTGAGGAAGTTGTTCAAAATGATAACTATCAACGTAGAAGTAAACTTTCAGAGCTTGCCGACTTCCTTCTGCTTGATATGTAAGAGGAACATCTGAAATGATATTTAATAGTATATTACTTCCTAAAATAAGGATATGCTAGAAGGTACTTCTGTTAACCTTCAAAAAGAATCCTGAGAATTACTCGACACCAATATATTAAACATGATCATGTTTATCAAGTTGGGATTCAACATACAGTGCTATTCAATGAAAGAGTATTAAATCAGTTCTCATTAGCTAAAGCAATGGATTTGTTACTATATTATAAAAATTCCATAAGAGGAAACTTTGTTACACTTTGACATACCAGATGTCTCACTTAACTAAATGAGGTGTTTAGCTATACATGGTTTGGATTCAAAATCTCCCAGGGCAGCTGCTTCATTCATATTTTAGTCAGAATGAGTCCTTGGAGTATACTTCTTAAGTAGTGTGCAACAAATTGAGTACATAGCAACCACTATCAAAATTAGTATGGGTTCTGCAAGCTCTATTCCCTGAGCACCAGATTGGAAATATATTATCCTTTGTTGATGCCCCACAGTCATTAAAAATTGTCCCAACTCTTGTAGCTATTTTCAAAGATCCTAAATTTAATTACTTTAAAAAAAAAAACCAATCAACTTGAAAACTAAATTTCAGTAGGAGTATTTCACAATGCTATCATAAATCCTCTCCATTTTATGATACTTATCCATGACAAATATTTCTGTCTCATTAGAAGAGAATGTAAAATCATCCTAAAAGGCTGAATAGTCACAATAACCAGTTAAAAATTAAGGACAAACAAATGGAATTGGCATTTAATACATGTTCCTCACCCAGTATTTATAACTTCTAACCGGCTTCTTGAAATAAAACTGTATATAAAAGTAGAGTTCAAGGTTAAATGGCATTTATGATCACAGATTCCAGGCTCCTTATTAAATTTATTTAATTCTGTATATCAATATGGGAAACATTTCATTAATATCTATCTCCTTTATGCCATATAAAGTACTTATTTTATTTTATTTTTTTTTTTTTTTAATGAAAACATGAAGCATTTGATTTAGGAAAGAGAATGAACAGGTTTCTCACCCAAAGGGTTGAAAATTAATAGCATTTTAAGAATTGGAAAAATCCTTTCTTTCTGGTTTCTAAAATAAAGACTAAAAGAACTATGGACACTAAAGAAAATACAGATTTATAGCTACTAAATATCTGTATCCTCTAGTTCCCCTTTTCACACACTGTCTCGCATATATATTTTAATTTGTGTTAAATTCCATACCCTTCATCTTTGGCATCAACATAGGCAACCTCTATGCTAACAAATGGATAATGTTATTGAAAGAAAAATAGTGATAATGATACAACAGTTAGAGTTTCATATTATAGAACACAGAACAAATAAAGATGTTATATTAGGAATCAAAGAACTAAAACTTAATGAAAATTATAAAGTATATCAATTTAAAGTGAAGTTTAAACTAAGAGCACTAAAACTCCTGGGCTCAAGTGATCCTCCAGTCTTGGCCTCCCAAAGTGCTGAGATTACAGGCATGAGCCGCCACACCCAGCCCATTACCACTTCTTTCAACATCATACTGGAAGTCCTAGCTGTTGCAATAAAACAAAACAAGAAAAAAGAAACTATAAAGATTGGGAAAGAAAAACATCAACAACAAAAAAATGCTCCTGGAACTAATATGCAATTATAGCCAGGTTACAGGATACAGGTTAACATAAAAAAGTCAATTCCTTTCTTATATAATATCAGTAAACAAGTGGAATTTGAAATTAAAAACATAATACCATTTACATTAGCACCTCCCCAAAATAAAATACTTAAGTATAACTCTAATAAAACATGTACAAGATCTATATAAGGAAAACTACAAAGCTGATGAAAAAATTTTAAGAACTCAGAAAGAGATTTTATGTTCATGGATAGGAAGACTCACTATTGTCAAGGTGTCATTTCTTCCCAGCTTGATCCACAATATCAGTGAAACACCAAGTAAAACCCCAACTGGTTATTTCTTAGATATTGACAAACTAATTCTAAAGTTTATATGGAAAGGCAGAAGACACAAAATAGCCAACATAATATAGAAAAAGAAGAACAAAGTTGGAAGACTGACACTCCCTTAATTTAAGACTTACTGTAAAACTACAGTAATCAAGACAGCATGGTATTGACCAAAGAACAGACAAATAGATCAATGAAATGGAACAGAGAGCTCAGAAATAGTCCAACACATATATAGTCAACTGATCTTTGATAAAGGAGCAAAGACAATACAACGGAGCAAAGATAGTCTTTTCAACAAATGTTTCTGGAAGAACTGGACATCCACATGCAAAAACATAAATCTAGACACTCACCTTATATCCTCCACAAAAATTAACCCAAAATGATCTATACACTTAAATATGAAATGCAAAACTATATAACTCCTGCCAAATTACAGAAGAGGAAACCTAGATGACCTTCGACATACTGATGACTTTTAGAAAGAACATCAAAGGCACAATCCATGAAAGAAATAATAGATAAGTGAGACTCCATCAAATGTAAAACTTCTGTTCTGCAAAAGACAATGTCAAGAGAACGGGAAAACAAGCAACAGACTGGAAGAAAATATTTGCAAAAGACACATCTGATAAAAGACTGTCATCCAAAATACACAGATAACTCTTCAAACCCAACAATAAGAAAACAAACAACCCGAGTGTATTAATCCATTCTTTCTTTGCTATAAAAATGTCTAAGAGTGAGTAATTTATAAAGAAAAGAGGTTTAATTGGTTCACGGTTCTACAGCCTGTACAGGAAGCAAGATGCTCACATCTGCTCAGCTTCTGAGGAGGCCTCAGGAAACTTATAACCATGGCAGTAGACAAAAGGGGTAGCAGGCACATCATATGGCAAGAGCAAGAGAGCAAGCGGAGAGGTGCTACACATTTTTAAACAACCAGATCTCATGAGAACTCATTATCATGAAGACAGTACCAAGGGGAAGGCACAACATCATTCACGAGAAATCCACCCCCATGATCCAATCACCTCCACCAGGCCCCACCTCCAACACTGGGGATTACAATTAAGCATGGGATTTGGGTAAGGACACATATCCAAACTACATCACCAATTTTTAAAATGGGCTAACAACCTCAACAGACAACTCTTTCAAGAAGATATAGAGATGGCAAATAATCATATGAAATGATGCTCTATATCATTTGTTATCAGGGAAATGCAAATTAAAACGGTACTGAGCTACCACTATACACTCATAGAGGGGCCAAAATCCCAAACACTGACAACACCAAATGCTGGCAAGGATGTGGAGCGATAGGAGCACTCATTCATCACTGGAGGGAAAAATGCAGATTTTCCACAAAATAAATATCATCATAGAAAATTTAATCCTTTAGCTAGTTTAGTCCTCTCTCACTAATTAAATAATATGATACGGGGAGTACCTTGTATTTTCCTTATCACTAAAGTGGTTACATTGCCCATTTATGCCTTTGTATTTCTCACCAGACTCCATGCACATAGCCACTCTGGAAAACAGTCTGGCACTTTCTTGCCAAACTAAGACGCTCTTAACATACGATCCAGGACTCATGGTTCTTGGTATCTATCCAAAAGAGCTGAAAACTTATATCCACATAAAAACCTGCACGTGTGCCTATAGCCACTCTTCATAATTGCCAAAACTTAAAAGTAACCAAGATGTCCTTTGAATGGATAAACTGTGGTACGTCCAGCCAATGGAATATTCTTCTGTGCTAAGAGATGAGCTATCAAGCCATGAAAAGACATGAAGGAAGCTTAGATGCATATTGTAAGTGAGAGAAGACAATCTGAAAGGCTACATACTGTATGATCCCAACTATATGATGTTCTGAAAAAGGCAAAACTACAGAGAAAGTGAAGAAAATCAGTGGATGCCAGGGGTTGGGTGCAGAGTGGGAGGGAGGAGGAATTAATAGGGATTTCAGGGCAGTAAAAATACTCTGTATGATACTATAATGGTGGATACATGTCAGTACACATTTGTCCAGATTCAGAGAACATACAGCTCCAAGAGTGAATCCTAATGTAAACTATGAACTTTGAGTGATTACGATATAGGTTCATTGATTTTAAGAAATGTACCTCTATGGTGAGGGCTATTGATAGTTGAGGAGGCTGTGCATGTGTAGGGACAGGGGTATGGAAAATCTCTGTACCTTCCTCTCAATTTTGCTGTGAACCTAAAACTACTCTAAAAATATAAAGGCTTTTTAAAAAGTGCATAATACTCACGTGGAGCTGAAAATTGTTGCCTTTTATTTGTAGAAATTTATTAGCTACAAAAAACAAACTTGATAATTAGGACTATATAATATTTAAATGCTTCAAAACCAATATTGCAAGAGGAAAAGGTCTCTGGTAGCATCCTATAGAGGGATTCATCCCACAAAGGAGTTTCAACAGTGCCATCCCCATCCCATCCCTGTAAACATAGCCTCTAACCATTGAATGGGCCCATGAGTTTCAAAATAAGTCTTCAACTAAGAAGCTGTTAGTTCCCTCTGCCTGAGTTGTTCTTCCCTGACTTTCTGCAGAGTTGGGTCTTTCTTATCCTTCAGATCTCAGCTTAAAAGCTACTTCTGCAGAGAATCCTCCACCAGTCACCCCTTGAAGGGCTGCCTCATCTTTTTTCTTTATGCATCTGCTTATTTCTTTCATAGGATTTATCACAGTTTTATCTTTATATTGATTTCTTGTTGATTGCTGATTATTCATTCCTCATTCATTATTGATTCCTAATTCCTTATTCCCAACTAGGCCGTCAGTTCCATGAAGATGGGAACCATGCCTGTCTCATCCATGACGGCATCCACACCTCCAAGCACAATGCCTGGCCCATATAAGGATAGTGAGGACTCAAACATATTCATTTTCCTAATAATGAACTACTATAAAATTACCCATATCACCATTGAAAAGAAGACCTGCTGTCATTACATTATTCTCCTAAACTGATGCAGATTTTCCACAAAATAAATTTAATTATAATTTACCATTTAGCTAGTTTATTACTCCTTCACTGATTTGTGTAATAAGACATGAGAAGCACCTTGTACTTCCCTTATTACCAAAGTGGTCAAATTGCCCTTTTACTTCTTTGTATCTCTCATTAGCGTCTAAGCTCCATGCCAAAAAAGCCTTGTTTCATTTGCACACCATGATATCCCTAGAACTTAGTTTAGTAGTTAGCATGCTATATATATTTAATAATTATTTCTTCAATGAAAACAAACTGTTTTTAATCAAGACATTTGAGTTCTACTTGCTTGGCATGCCATAATTCTTCAGAATCTCATTATTCTTTTCATGCAAAAGTGAGATTATAGGTGATGCTATAAATATAGCTTTTGAGAAGAATGCAAAGTAATTAAGTAAGAAGGGTGGATTCAAATACTTACTGAATACTAGCATAGCCATATATGATGCTAGAGTCTTTCAAATACATTATCTTATTTAAGTCCCTCAACCCTGTGAGTTAGGGAAAGCTATAGTTCTCATGCTTAAAGATAAGAATGGAGCCAAGATTTGGAGCAAGATTTGGACTTGGATTTCTTGACTTCAAAGCCAGTGGTATCTACACCTTCATGCGTCCCCACTCTCTGTACTTAGTCCTCCCTCAAAGGTATGCAGTCAACTAGTCTCCATCCCAGTGATATGGAATTAATTAGTGAATCTGACTTCTCTGCATCTAAGTAACAGGAAGATCAAACTACATGCAATGTATAATAAAGCTTCATTTCCTTACACCACTTAAATAAGATGTGATGACCTTTGATTACAGAATAATTTTATTTCCTGCATCAACTTAAAATAAGAATTATATTCCTATCTTCACTCTTTTTAGTGTTCAATAGTGCAGCATTGGAACCAGCCCCTCACTAGGGAACTATTTTCAGAAGTTGAGGTTACACTTTGAAGAGACACATTAAAATGTATTGCCAAATATATTCAGAATGCCTGTATCTGTTATAGTGACATCTACATTTACATACTATTATTACTTACATGGGCTCAATTATTTTTTATATTTAGTATGCGTTTCAAAGTTAAATCTTTCACAGTAGATAATAAGTAAGTATTTTATCAAGCTTATGATATTGGTTCTTCTCCTTCTTGTTCAACAGACCATTTGCCAATAATGTCATAGAACCATGGAAAACAGTACTCCTGTGAACTTATAGTTCCTCAGGCAAAACTTTAAACAACATATCGGGTTATGTCATGAAAATAGAGTTCTCTCTGCCTGCAGCAAAACTATGCCCACATTATTCAAGTAAATGAAAATATATCCTATTCTATACATATCCACAGAAAACCACACAATTTGCTCAAATAATATTATCCTTATCAAATAATACCCTCTGCCAGAAAAATCCTTGAATAAATACAACCTAAATTTCTAACTTTGTACTTCTTGTTCTCTTCTTCATTCATCAGAGGAAATGAAACTTTAATAATATTCTGTTCTCTCTATTTTCATAAATTAAACAGCATTGACACTGCTTTATTTTTAAATAATCTCCACAGCTACCCTCCAGGCCAAGTCACCATCCTCTCCCACCTGGGTCATTCAGTAGCCATCTAACTGATCACTCGGCTTCTGCCCTTGGTCCCAGTGTAGTCTGTTTAACACAGCAGTCAGAGACAGCCTTTTAATATGGAAGTCACATCCCATAATTCATCTGTTCAATGGCATGGTTAGGAAGCAAAGCTTTTTCAACAGCTGGCAAGCCCTGCATAGTCTGGCCTCCTTGCTGTTTCCAACTCTTTTTCTGTTCCCCTCACTCGCTCCACTCCACCTGTGTAGGCCAACTTCCTATCCCGAGAGCATGCCACGTCTGCTTCCAGCCTCAGAGTCCAGTGAGCCTGGGACACTGCTCCTCCGACACCTCCACTACTCCCTCCCTCAACCTCTTCAGGGTTCTGCTCTCCTTTTAGGTAAAGATTCCTCCTTACCCCATTCATTATCTGCAACCTTTCACCTGCCCCTTCATTGGTATCTTTTGCTCTCTTTTGTTTCCCTATATATCTTTCACATAATTGCCTTATAATTTATTATAAAATAATTTTGCCTATTATTTATCTCTCCTCACCTTAACTTAATCCCCATGAGAGATATCTATCTGTTTAGTTCTCTACTGAATCCAACACCAAGAATCGTCTTGGCAAGAAGCAGGCATTTAAGGAGCTTTTGATACATGAATAAATGAATGATTATCATCTTAAGTCAGATCATGAATCAAATGAAAATGTATGGAGTCCTTATTTTTTGTACTAGACATTAGGAATGTGAGAAATAAAACCTGAAGAAGCTTACACCTTCTGGCCTAATACATATGATACTCGTATTTTTGAAAAAACAAGAGACATATAAAAATAATAACAAACTACTGAAGATTTCTTAGACTGATCGATATATTTTAACTATATTTATGGGAATGTGGAAATAGTAAATAATGATAACTTGCAGAAAGTAAAAGATATGGACATTAAACCATATATATTGCTACTTCTCTGAATATATAACTTTTAAAATACTGCCTTTGTCAGATTAGTGATGGAAAATTGCTAAATCAAAAGGATACATTTCAATCATTCAGTTAATAAAATACTTATCAAATATATTAATATCAAAGTTGTATCATATATAATTATTTGATGCCAAATAAATTTTGTAAATACCTAATTACTTACTTGCAACCAGGGGTTCCTCTTCTGATGGTTTAAAGTAAAAGGAAACCTTTTCCAAATCAAATAGTGCAACCAGTGTATCTTCTAACATGGCTTGTTCATCTGTCTACAAAGAAAGAAAAACAATATATAATACAAGATGATATAAAGCAATATAAAGTAACATGACATAATGTAAATCCAGACCAAAATAACTCTGCAGTGTGGCTAATTGTTTTGTATTTTTGGTAGAGACAGGGTTTCACCATGTTAGCCAGGATGGTCTCGATTTCCTGACCTCGTGATCCACCCGCCTTGGCCTCCCAAAGTGCTGGGATTACAGGTGTGAGCCACCACACTTGGCCTAAACCATTATCTTTAAAAAATCCTTTTGAAGCAGCAAAAAAATGTCATGACCCTAGAAAGAAAGGACAGGACTGAAGAATCAGTGTTTATTCTGATAAAAATACACAAAGCAAGAAATGTTCCAGACAGTATGGCCTTTGAGGGCTATAGCACAAGCCATGGTGTTGCAGCAAACATTGCCAAAGCCAGGCCCAAGTGACCACTGGCTGTGCCTTGCTCTCAGGGACACACAGACCACCGGAGCACTGCTCCTAGAGAGCCATTCACACTCCTGGGTGGATGTTTTCTTTCTGCCTTTCTGACAGAAGCAGAAAGACTACGGGTTTCTTCAATTTTTCTTTCCTTAGCAACCTCTCTATTTTCTTTTTAAAAACAATTCCTCAAATAAATTTAAGGGTTTCACAAGACCAGTTGAAAAAAAAAAACAAAAACACACAGCTTCATTGAGATATAACTCACATACTGTAAAATTCACCCATTTAAAATGTATAGCTCAGGGGTTTTAATATATTCACAGAGCTGTCCAGCTAGCACCATCATCTAACTTTAGAATATTTTTATCATCCCCCAAAGAAACCCAATACCGAATAGTATTCACTCCTCATTTTCCTGCCCCCAACCGTCAGTTGTAGGCAACCACTGGTCTACTTCCTGCCTCTAAAATGTACCTAGTTAGTACATTTCACCACAATGGAATCAAACTATATGAGGTCTTTTGTGACTGGCTTATTTCACTTAGCATAATGCTTTCAATGTTCATCCATGTTGTAGCATGTATCAGTACTCCATTCCTTTTTATTGCTGAGTAATATTCCATTATATGGACACATCACATTTTGTTTATCCATTCATCAGTTAATGGACATATGAGTTGTTTCCACTTTTTAGCTACTACGAATAATCTTGCTAGGAATGTTTGCATGTAAGATTTTGTGTGAATGTAAGTTTTCATTTATTTTAGATATTACCTAGAAATGCGATTTCTAGGTAATATGGAAACTCTACGGTTCATATTTTGAGGAACTGCCAAACCAGTTTCCAAAATGACTGTGCCACTTCCCACGAGCAACTTAGGAGGGTTACAAACTTTCTCCACATCCTCCCCAAAACTTGTGACTATCTGTCTTTTGTATTATAGCCATCCATATCACACGTATTGTGGTATTTCATTGTGGTTTTGAGCTGCATTTCTCTAATGGCTAATGATGTTGATCATCTTTTCATGTGCTTTTTGGACATTTTTGTATCTTTGGAGAAATATCTATTCAAATAATTTGTTCACTTTTTAATTGGTTATTTGTCATTTTGCTGTTGAATTTTAAGGATTCTTTAAATATTCTGCCTATGTCACTTATCAAATATAGGACTCGTAAATATTTTCTCATATTCTTTGAGATTTCCAATAAAATTAAGTTTAAAGCAAAAGCACCGGCACTTGATTAGACAATGGCAGCTTAAAAGTAAGGAAAACACAACAGAAATAAAGCCTTACTCATTTACACATTCATTCAACAGATAATTGACGCCTACCATGTGTTAAAAATTAGGCTTCCTATCATATGTAATTCACACACACACACACACACACACACACACACATTTGTTTTTAAACTCAAACATGTTACTTTGTAGCTACATTGTCTATGTGTACTTTAACAGATGAAATAGGCTCTCATGTTTAAAATTACTATTCTATTCCGTGATCACCTAACGTTTACATATGAAAGTGAACATATTTGCTTTTAAACATGATGATAACTATCCAAACCACCGGAGGTATATGTGAAAAATCTCTTAAGTTCACCACAGTTTTATTTTTCAAATATTTAAAGATGCTTTCTTCATATCCACTGTGGAAACCCGATGAATAAACATAGAATATTCTACAGCAATTAAGGCAATGCTCTTCGATTTAATAGGACAAACACGCACACAAAGAAAAGAACTAAAATTATTTAACATACGCAAAGTTTAAACAGATTGTCAGGCAGTATGGTATTTGAGCTCTCTGAGCTTGGCTCTCAAGCCTGCTACAGGACATCAATCGCAATAGGAGCTTTGGTTTCACAGCAGCCTGTGTCCTTGGACTGGGAGTAAGGAAAAGCAGCAGAAAGACCCTTTTTCTTCTGGTGACCTTTTCCAGTCAGTGGGTAGGGATACAAGAATTAGTAACAGATGGAGGCTGTCTCAGCTTTTAGCAGCCACAGAGAAGAGATACAAATCAGCAAAGAAGGAATACATTCTACATACTTATTAAAAATTGAAGGACCACAGAAAAATGTATACTTTTAAAGTAGCTGAATGCATGCACATTCATAGAGATAACCCGGGGGAAAGAAATAACTATTTCTTATTTCAAAACATGTTACAGTGTAGGTTACAGTTGACACAGACAGTGGGAGTCATGTGATTTCCTTACCAAGTTTGGTGACAGAAGTGACTGAAAGTGAAAAAGAACACCTGCATTCGCTATCTGGTCCAGCCACCTCCTGCTGGCTTCCCAAGTTTCCATCTCATTTTCCTTGCTGTTGTCAAACATCTGGTTCAAGGCCGCCATGAGCTGCTCAGAGAAGGCACAGACAGTGGCCACAAGAGTCTGGCAGAAAACCATGTCTCTACGGAGCTGTGTCTCACTATCTGTGATCAAAGAGAACATAGAGAATGCTTTGAAAAATGTTGCAGATGGTGAAAACCAATGAGTTAAGCATCTACATTCACTAGCATTTCATCTTTTCACTAAACTCACACATGTGAAAAATGTGAATTTGACCTCTATGAATGATCACACACATTTTAGCAAACATGCTTTACAGAAAACACTAAACACCAAAAAATAGTAGAAATATTAAAATATTTTTTCCTCATCAATAATGTGACTCTATTCTAGAATCATTAAATTGTTTGATAAAACCTGAGGGAGAAAAATAAGGCTTCATTTATTTATATTTTCTATGCCTGATGGGACACAATTTGCATTTGCTGGAATGACATTTTCCTAAACAAAACTCAAAGTCCAATTCGTCAGTTTTTGTTGGCAAATTAAATACAATATTATCAATACAACTTTTAAAATTAACAACTAAACCTAAAATATTAATGTGAAATACATATAGGGAAGAGTATATGATGTTCAATTGTTTGCAGTTATAAGCAAATCTATCTCTCCTGAATGGTGTTATTAAACTTCATGAGCTATAAGTGTGTTCAAATATATAAGAATATAAATTTCTATAATTCTTTCAAATAAGCAATGTATTTATAGTTTTAGTATGAATTGATTTTTATATGTTTAACAGGATTCTTATCCTGCAATTGACTGGAGTTTTGGTTAACCCACTGATATGGTTAGGCTTTGTGTCCCCACCCAAATCTCATCTTGAATTATCATCCCCAGGTGTTGAGGAAGAGACCTGGTGGAAAGTGATTGGATTACGGAGGTGGTTTCTCCCATGCTGTTCTTGTGATAGTGAGTGAATTTTCATGAGATCTGATGGTTTTATAAATGGCAGTTTTTCCTGTATTCTGAAACACATGCTCTCTGCTCTCTCTTGCCTGCCACCGTGTAAGACATGCCTCTTTCCCCTTCTGCCTTCTCCCATTCTAAGTTTTCTGAGGCCTTCCTGGCTATGCATAACTGTGAGTCAATTAAACTTTTTTCCTTTATAGAGTACCCACAATCTCAGGTATTTCTTCATAGCAGTGAGAAAACAGACTAATACACCCACTTTGAAGATATGTTTCCACTGTGAACTGCCACTTCTGAACTAGAGATTTTTCAAATGGAAAGAAGCTAACACACAGAGTTCATTTCTTCTGGTGGTTGGATATATACAAACTACAGAAACACAAAGCTACACATTCCACATTTTGAAAAATCACTTCCACTAGAAGTGGAAACAACAAAGGGAAAAATAACCTCCTGTCAAATGCATACTAAATATTTCAAGGGTTCATAGACTTTTCTGGAATAAAGAAGCATTATCAATATTAGTGTATAACACAGAGATAAATGCTGACTTTATTCAGTGGGGAGCTCCTGTTTTATTGACAAAACAGGCATAATTTTTAAGATTTTCCAAGAACATTGAACATCTGTTTTTAATAACCATCAAAGGTATATGTATATATAATTTAGTTTCTATGTTACTTCATTTCACTGTAAAACCTACTCTTGAAAATTTTATTAGAAAGATAATTAAATATTCAAAATATTTAATTTTGTATCTGAATATTCATTTATTAGGCTCAACTATAGAAACATGCTGCTTTGGTAGGTTAAAATGGTGGAATATGGCCATTCCATATGGATCAGCTTACTAATTTAACCAACAACATGTGTTAAGCGTCTATATCATGTGCCCCATGCTACTAGATAGGAAAGGGCATTTATAGGTAACTATAAAATCTTTAAACTGGAAATGAACTTTGTCCAATCCTCAATTAAGAAAAAAAACTAAACACCATTTTGTTGCGCACAATTTCTATCAGAGTAGACATTGAACAAATGTTCACTAAATCAATGATTAAAATAGAGTCAGTGGCCCACTAAAAATAAATAAAAAAGTGAAATGAAAAGACATGAGTTAATTCTCTGGTTTCTTGAAATATCTGGATTTAATTTTACTTAAGAAGCTAATTCAGATAGCTTGTTAGCTCCAGTGTGCACCTAGGGTACTGAGGTTCATGACAGAAACTAAATAAGTAAAATAAATTGTCCTATGTCTTTGTTGTACATTATTACTTTGTTTTTCAGATGTTCTACAGTGAAGCAGAAAATCTGGGTGAATTTTAAAAAATACTTCAGTAGATATGGCAGCAATACTCCCACCTACACCTTGACAATGTTTTAATAAAAATCTAATCGGAAAGAAATTATGGATATTGAGCGAAAAGCAAAAATCTAGAGAAAGAAGGATCTGCACTGCAAGCTTTAACAAAAATCACCGGGATTAATAACTTTGCACTGGTAGAAATAATTATTTCCAAGTTTCTTTTGTGAAAAAATTCTCTTCTATTTTTATCCTCAAAAGAATACTTAGATGTTGATGCTATACTCTGCTACTATATTCTATTTGCATTTAAGCCAAAATAAGATTTTTCTTTCAACCTCTTTATCAAATCAGAACTGACTGCAATTGACAGTCATCTTTTCAATGTGCAAAACCTGTTGATAACTTGAAGTTGTACTCATTCATCAATTCAAATGTTTAACACTGAATGAATACCCTACAGGAATTGACAGCTGCAACAACTACTAGAGGATCCAAGCTGGGGCCTCAGCCATACTGAATAAAAATTCATACTTCATGAGGTGATATTCTTTTGCCACCTTCCTATTTTCAACAGAGAGTAGATGAATTGTTTGCACAGATTCAAAATGTACATATTATATCAAGAGCTTTTCAAATTAACTTTTTACAAGTCATCATCTCACAGTGAATAACAAAGTTAGAAAACAGTGGCATAAGCGGGACCTTGTGACCTATCCCCAACTTCTATTTACAGCTTCTCAACATACCACTTCCCTCCATTCATTCCACACTACAGCAACAATGTTCACAGAATTATTGGGAGAGCACATTAAAACAACATATCTGAAAGCAGTCAGAAGCGTGGGGTACACAGACCTGTCCTCTTTGAGCCACACAGTACTGCTCGGCAGTTCTCAAATACCAAATGCCCTATGGCCTACATTTGGCCTATACCTTCCTTCCAGATGTGCTTTATGCCCTTGTCCTTCTCCTCTGTGTAGCAAACTTTAAATCAATCTTTAAGAGTCAACTCATCAAACTATTGAAACTCATTGAAAGGTTATCTCCCCTTGTGAAATTCCCCTCTTCCCAAGGAAATACTGGGGCTCTTTTTCTGGTCACCATAGACCTGGGGGCATCCTTCTACTGGAGGGCTAAATATATAACACAGTGGGCATTCATTTATGAGTCTGTGTTCCCGAGGAACCATCAGCACATCAAGGCCAGAGAAGTGGCATGTGACTTAGGCTCACACTCCTTAGAGGCATATCAACCGCTTTCAACTACCCATTCTACGCCAAAGTTTAGGTATCAGATCCTCATGTGGAAAATGGGGTCCATTCCTCCTTCTTAGGTCTACGATAAAGATAAATGAGATAAAAAGTATTTAAAGCACTTAACAAAGTAAAATGGTGTATCATTATCATTGTAATTCTTCTTTTTGTCCAGCATCTAGCACCATGCTTGGCACTGAGTAGGTGCTCAGCTTTATTGCTCATGGAGAAGGAACAATTTGTTACATAAATACAACAAAATCTACTAACTCTCAGCAAAAATATCCAGGTCTTTTTCTTTCAATTATGCAACCATTCAAAATTTATAAGTATCCATCCTTTACCAAAGGTATTTTTGGTTTTTTTGTGTGTTTTTGTTTTGTTTTGCTTTGTTTTTTTAAGACAGAGTGTCTTGCTCTGTCACCCAGGCTGGAGTACAGTGGCAGGATCATAGCTCACTGCAGGTTCAAACTTCTGGGCTCAAGAGATCCTCCTACCTTGGCCTCCCAAATAGCTGGGACTACAAGTGTGTGCCATCACTTCTGGCTAATTTAATTTTTTTTTTTTTTTAAAGGCAAGGCTTCACTATGATGTCCAGGCTGGTCTCAAACTCCTAACCTCAAATGATACTCCATCCTCAGCCTCTCAAAGTGCTGGGATTATAAACAGGGCACACTGCCTTCATTTCCTATTTTCTATGAATAAGAAAGAACTACAGCAAAAATCACATCTGTTTTCAGCTACTAGCAAAAGAAGAAAAACAGAGATTTTGAGGGTTTTTTTTTGTGCTTACTATTATTGTAGAGTAAGATTTTTATTATTTATTTTTATCATAGAGTAATATTTTTCTCACAGTGAGAGTACACTCAAAAGAAATGGTTTTTGTACCTATAAAAGGCTTCAGTTTCATTTTAGTATTTAAGCACCTATCTCATCTTCTAAAACATGTTTTAAATTACATTATTTAATCTTGGCTGTTTAAAAGTTTAAGATCTATAATTAGCTAGCTGGTCTAAAAAGAATGAGAAGGTTTCTAGACACACAAAAGCAATCTCAGAAATTATGCTAACACAGAGATTGTAGGGCAAATAAAGCAAAATAAACAACAAAAAAGGAGATTAGAGAAAGGCAGAAATAAAAGGAGGTTAAGAATATTTAAAAGACACAGTTTACCCTTTTCAAATGAACATAATTTCACAGCCAAAAATATGAAGTATTTTGGCTATTGTTTTGGTGTCATCCTATATAGAAGAGGGGAAGAGAGAGTGAGCAAATAAAGCAGGAAAATAAAGAATCATAAGAGGAAGAGAAAAATAAAATTTAAATCAAAATAAAAACCTACCAGAGCATCCATTTGAGCATTAATGAATAAAACGAAGCATCCCGGAATCACCTCCGGAACTGGAAAACCTAAGTTTGAATTTCACAACTGCCACCTACTATTTATTCATTTATTCAATAAGACATCAATATGCCTAACCTTCTAGATGCTCCAAAGTCAGTGTTGACTGTATACTATGTGCTGGTTATTATTAATCTGCCAGAATGTCAATTTCTTCACCTTTAAAACTGTGGAAACAATAATATTCTCACGTGGTGGGTTGTGGGGACCCAATGAAATCCAAGAAAATGAGGTCCATGAATTGTGTTTTTAGTAAAGCTCAAAAACTGTAAGATATTTTTGCCATTATTATTACTCAGTCAAAAAGCAAAGTAAAAACTTTTTTCATTACGGCAAAAAACCAGAGGACAAATAAAAAAGCCCTGTTGGTTAACTTGGTTCATTCATAATTTAAAATTTCCAAGTGTAGTACTTTGTAAAAGTGGTCACAAATTCTTTCCCTCCCTGTATCCACACTCTTGCAATGTAATTTTGAGACCCTCTCCTTCAAAAGTAGAATCTATGTCTCTACCCCTTAAGTCTGGCCTTGCCAGTTACATGCTGGGGCCAGAAGGTGACAAGCTCTTAGACATTTGCACTGTCTTCCTGGAATCCTGCAAATCCACCATGTGAACAAGAACAGGCTAGCCTCATAGATGACGAGAGACAGGCAGCCCAGGCAGCCCTGTAACCTCAGCTAACAGCCAGTCAAATGTTACATATGTGAGCAAGGCCACCCTAGATCACCTGTGCCTAGCCAACCCACCACCTGACTGCAGACACATGGGCATACCCAGCCAAGATCAATAAAACCTAGCACAGACCAGCAGAATCGCCCAGATAACACTAGACAGGTAAGCAATAATAAATGGTCATTGTTTTATGCCACAAAGTTTGGGGAATTTTTTTTAGCACAACAAACGCTAACTGCTATCACAAGTAGTCATTCAGGTTATATTTTTCGGAATGAATTCCTATCAAAATTTAGTTAGTGTAATAGAATTTCTGTGTATACACATACACATACTTTATGGGAAATAGATTAAAATAATAAAAGTAACTCATTCAACATATCTATATATCTCCAAATCTACAGAAACAGATGCACAGCAGGCTAACATCAAACTGTTCACTGTAATTAAACGGCATGTGAGTTTTCCCAATCTTTATAATCCATTTCCTTCTAAATGCATTTTGAATGAAAACCTTGTTGAAATATTTCATACATTTTTCCTTTTTCATTCATATAATTTTTCATTCATTTTTGTCACAAATATTTGTTGAATATCTATATGCCAGCCACTATTTTGGGCATTTGCTGATGATCAAAATAGACATAGTGCCCGCCTTTATGACATTTACAGTCCATCATCTGCAATTTAGAATCTCATCAAATATTTAATTGTCCTTTAGTGTCATTTTCCATTACCAATATTTTTTGAGCTCCCACTAAGTGCATGGTAAAAGTGTTTTAATGTAAGATTTGTAAAATGTTTACATACATTCTTGTTCATAAACAAAATTTAGACACGATTAACTTTAGCAAAACCTGCTCCCTTTCTCCTGTTTAATAATATTTTGTTTAAATCTCTATTCATATATGTTTTCATGGTTTTGCTTATAAGAGAATACAAGTATGTGTGTATATATATGTATGTGTATATATATATTTGCATTTTTATTAAAATGATGTGAGTACTTTTTCTAATCTTTCCAAAGGTTTGGAGAAGGTAGGGATCATATTTCTATTTTGTAAATGGTTGAAGGCACTGTCCTCAAATTTCAAGGCCTTTACGATCCTAGGCCACAATCACTTAAATAGTAAAAAAATAAAATGCAAAATGTTACCTGAATATTCAAGAAGAGCCAGGAGTATCCTACACCTCACCTCTGCAGAGAAAGAAAACATATCAGTTAATTGTTCACTTTTTCTGTCACAAATACCATATTTTAACTGTGTAGTCAAAATTAGTATGATCTTATTATACTAGGCTGGTGCAAAAGTAATTGCGGTTTTGCCATTACTTTCAATGGATGGCAAAACCAGCAATTACTTTTGCACCAACGTAATATTAAATAATAAAAATCAATTCACTTGACATGCTACTACTCTTGCCTGTTTGCCTACACTAATTCTATCCATTGTTCAAGATCCTGAAATGTCTCTGAATTATATCAGTCAATGAAACACCATTCAAATCCTGGCAGGTTTTTAGGTCATCCTTAGCTGTTTTAGCCTACTTGGTGTTCTGCAAGCTACAACTGTTGTAATCACTAGCAATAAACTGTCAAACAATATTTTATTTATATATATATGTGTGTGTGTGTCTATGTGTGTGTATGTGTGTGTGTATATATATGTGTGTGTGTGTGTGTGTGTGTGTATATATATATATATACACTCTTCTTCCAACCCCAACCCACACAGGGTCAATCACAGATGTAAATATAAAAACTTACAAAGTTCCTGCTAAATATCCAAGACTATGGGAAACAAAAAAGATTAAGTTATATCCTATTCTAGACAGATTCACAATAGAGTCAGAAAGACAGAATTGACTGAAAAGAAATGCAGGAAATACTTGAAAGGGCACTAATTTTTACAAGTGAGACTGAAAGAAGAAAAGGATTTCAGAGGCAGGAAAGTACAATAAGCTAAGAGTCAGAAGACTGCTGTTATATACTAACTTTGTGGCTTTAGAAAATTGCTAAATTACTCTGAGTCTCAATTAACTCATTCATAAATGAAGATAACATCTGCCTTATCTATTTTACAGGTCTGTGTAAAATATAAGTGAGAATATGTATGAAAAGTCTTTGAAAATTGTTTAAAGTGCTATATACACGTGAAGACTGTTATTATTGTAATCTGAATCTGGCCGAAGTTGCTATAGAATTCTAAATGAGACTAGAAAATATTTCATAAAACTTTAAATTATCACTGTCAAGAAAAGAGATACATATTCTAAGACTGAGAAATTTTGCTAGCAAGGGAATATAGTAGAGAATGAATAACAATTATTTAACAATCTAGCATAGAGAGATTTTACTATGTCATTAAGAGATTGAGATTGGGATATGATTAGAAAGCTCCACTGAAAAATGGCTTCTAACAGATCGATGAGTTTAGTCTTACCTAACAGAAAATCACTGCAAGACTCTGTGACACAGTAGTGAAATTATGAACACGATATTTTAGGAAGATGAATCTCATAATGGTTATAAGAATCAGAAAAAGATACGGAGAGGGAGGTTAGCCAGAAAAATCATTGCAATTACTGAAGTGTGATGAAAGAGGGAAAAATTGAAGAGACACTCTTTAGAATATTGGGACAAATACAGAGAAAAAAATTTTTAAATGTAGGTTGCTTAAAAAAAATGAGATTTAGAATAAAGCATTTTTCTTTTTAGGGAACAAAAAGTCAAAAATGTGTTCACTAATAAACATCTGAATTTAAGGCGATGGTGGGCTACTCAGATAAAAATATCTTCATTCAGCTGATGATATGAGAACATAACTTACCTCAGAGTTAACATTAAGCAGGAGACAGGCATCGTCTTAGTGACACCATACAATTAATCTTTCCTCACTTAATTCACTGTCTTCTCTGCTCTCTTCTACACACAGTTTAATCTGCTATGAATGGGTGAGTATATAATGACACAATTTTTGAATGTCACTGCAACAGTTCTTTCTAAATAAAGACCATAGAATTACAACACCTTGATATCACATGTGGTATATAATGGATGGGATATTTTGAAATCGGAGACTAGGACAAACATTAGAAATGGGGTCATCCCAGCTACTTACATAAACCAAGAAATTCTGGCCTGGTGGCACCAGGTTAAATTAAGTCCCAAGATTTAACCTTCCATTAAGTCATTCATTCACTATATAAAGACAGTCTAGGAAGTAGAATGAAAATGACTTAAGTTGAATAGGATAAATTCGTGCTGAGCCAGCAAAGTTTCTCAGAGTGCCTCCACATAACAAGCAATGGATTTCAACGATCCTAATGCTTTTTCCACTCCTAACAGGACCAGACATCACAGGGATTACCAGGAAATGGCAGTATGCCCTCTCCCTTGCATAGTCCAATGAGATGAAGCAAAAAGTAATCATTTTTAAAGACTCACTTAACATGGTGACAATCACAGCTCTGACCCAAACAGCTCACTGAAACAAAGAAATCTGCAACCAGAGATGCAACTTAAATTCTACAGAGAGCCCTCCCCACATAATTGACTATAAGACTCTCAGCCCATTCAACCACACTCAACTGGCTAGTGGACTCCCATGACTAAGAGTGGCACCCATATACACAACACATATCGATCAATCCATCAATCACTACGTGTATATAGTTATCATTCCTATAGCTGCTTATTGTGACATGAGTTACAAAGAGTACAAAAGTAGGTCTTGAGAAGAAAATGTAAGATTCTTAAAATGAGTACTTTTTGAAAAATTAAACTTTTTATCCTGCATTAGAAATGTATTTTTTAAAACTTTTAAGTTCAAGGGTACATGTGCAGGTTTCTTATATAGGTGCACTTGTGTCATGGGGGTTTGTTGCACAGATGATTTCATGACCCAGGCATTAAGCCTAATACCCATTAAGTATTTTTTCTGATCCTCTCCCTCCTCCTACACTTCACGTTCTGATAGGCCCCAGTATGTGTTGTTCCTCTCTTTGTGTCCATGTGTTCTCATCATTTAGCTTCCACTTAAAAGTGAGAACATGTGGTATTTGGTTTTCTGTTCCTGTGTTAGTTTGCTAAGGATAATGGACTCCAGCTCCATTCATGTTCCTGCAAAGGACATTATCTCATTCTTTTTTATGGCTGCATATTATTCCCTGGAATACAGGTACCACATTTTCTTTATCCAGTCTACCACTGATGGGCATTTGAGTTGATTTCATATCTTTGGTATTGTGAGTAGTCCTGCAATGAATATATGTGTGCACACATCTTTATGACAGAGTGACTTATATTCCTTTGGGTATATATCCAATAATGGGATTGCTGGGCCGAATGGTATTTCTGTTTTTGGGTCAAGGAATCACCACACTGTTTTCCACAATGGTTGAACTAATTTACATTCCCACCAACAGTGTGTAAGTGTTCCTTTTTCTCTGCAACCTTGTCAGTATCTGCTATTTTTTGACGTTTTAATAATAGCCATTCTGACAGGTGTGAGATGGTATCTCATTGTAGTTTTGATTTGCATTTCTCTAAAGAACAGTGATGCTGAGCTTTTTTTCATATGTTTCTTAATGAACAGTGATGTTGAGCTTTTTTTCATGTTTGTTAGCCACATGTATGTCCTCTTTTGAAAAGTGTCTGTTCATCTCATTTGCTCACATTTCAGTGAGATTGTTTTTCTTCTTGTAAATTTGTTCCTTATAGATGCTTGACATTAGACCTTTGTCAGATGCACAGTTCGCAAATTTTCTCCCATTCTGTAGGTTGTCTGTTTACTCTGTTAATACTTTCTTTTGTTATACAGGAGCTCTTAAGTTTAATTAGATCCTATTTGTCAATTTTTGCTTTTGTTGCAATTGCTTTCAGCATTTTCGTCATGAAATCTTTGCCCGTTCCTATGTCCAAAATGGTATTACTCAGGATGTCTTCTAGAGTTTTTATAGTTTTGGATTTTACTTTTAAGTCTTCAATCCATCTTGAGTTAATTTTTGTATAAAGTGTAAGGAAGGGGTTCAGTTTCAATCTTCTGCAAATGGCTAGCCAGTTATCCCAGCACCATTTATTAAATAGAAAATCCTTCCCCATTGCTTGTTTTTGCCAGCCTTGTAGAAGATCAGATAGTCGTAGGTGTGTGACATTATTTCTGGGCTGTCTATTCTGCTCCATTGGTCCATGTGTGTTTTCATACCAGTACCATGCTGTTTTGGTTACTGTAGCCCTGTAGTATAGTTGGAAGTTGAGTAGTGTGATGTCTCCAGCCTTGTTCTTTTTACTTAGGATTGCCTTGGCTATTCAGGCTCTTTTTTTGGCTTCATACGAATTTTAAAATAGTTTTTTTCTAGTTTTGTGAAAAATGTTATTGGTAGTTTAACAGGAATAGCATTGAATCTGTAAATTGCTTTGGGCAGTATAGCCATTTTAATGGTATCAATTCTTCTTATCAATGAACACGGGATGTCTTTCCATTTGTTTGTGTCATCTCTAATATATCTTTGAGCAGTATTTTGTAGATCTCCTTGTAGAAATCTTTCACCTCCCTGGTTAGTTGTATTCCTAGGTATTTTATTCTTTGTGTGGCAATTGTGAATAAGATTACATTCGTGATTTGACTCTCAGCTTGACTGTTGTTGGTGTATAAGAAAGCTAGTGAGTTTTGCACATTGATTTTTGTATCCCGAGACTTTGCTGAATTTGTTTATCAGCTTAAGGAACTTTTGGGCTGAGACTATAAGGTCTTCGAGATATAGAATCATTTTGCCTACAAACAGGGATAGTTTGACTTCCTCTCTTCCTATCTGGATGCCCTTTATTACTTTCTCTTGCCTAACTGCCCTAGCCAAGACTTCCAATACTACGTTGAATAGGAGTGGTGAGAGAGGGAATCCTTGTCTTGTGCTGGTTTTCAAGGGGAATGCTTCCAGCTTTTGTCTTTTCAGTATGATGTTGTTGGCTGCGGGTTTGTTTTAGACGGCTCTTACTATTTTGAGGTATGTTCCTTCAATATTTAGTTTATTGAGAGTTTTTAACAGGAAGGGATATTGAATATTATCAAAAGTCTTTTCTGCATCTACTGAGATTATCATATGCTTTTTGTCTTTAGTTCTGTTTATATGATGAATCACATTTGTTGATTTGAGTATGTTGAACCAACTCTGTGTCCCAAGGATAAAGACTACTTGATCATGGTAGATAAGCTTTTTGATGTGATGCTGGATTTGGGTTGCCAGTATTTTGTTGAAGATTTTTGCATTGATGTTCATAAAGAATATTGGCCTGAAGTTTTCTTTTTGTTGTTGTATCTCTGCCAGTTTTTGGTATCAGGATAATGCTGGCCTCCTAGAGTAAGTTAGGGAGGAGTCCCTCCTCTTCAATTCTTTGAAATAGTTTTGATAGAAACTGTATCAGCTCTTCTTTGTACATCTGGTAGAATTTGGCTGTTAATCCATCTGGCCCCAGGCTTTTTTTTGGTTGGCAGGCTATTTATTACTGATTCAACTTTGGAGCTTGTTATTGGTCTGTTCAGGGATTCAAATTCTTTCTAGTTCAGTCTTGGGAGGGTGTATGTGTCCAGGAGTTTATCCATTTCTTTTAGATTTTGTAGTTTATGTGCATAGAAGTATCCATAGTTATGACACTTATGTGTAAATACACATAATATGATAGTTATGTGTATTTCTGTGGGGTCAGTGGTAATATCTCCTTTGTCATTTTTAATATGTTTGTTTGGATCTTCTCTCTTTTCTTCCTTACTAGCCCAGCTAGTGGTCTATCTACTTTATTAATTTTTTCAAAAACCAACTCCTAGATTCATTGATCCTTTAAATGGTGTCTTGTATCTCAATCTCTTTCAGTTCAGCTCTGATTTTAGTTATTTATTGTCCTCTGCTACCTTTGGGTTTGATTTTATCTTGGTTATATAGTTCTTTTGCTTGTGGGGTTAGGTTTATATAACAAGATCTTTCTAACTTTTGGATATGGGCATTTAGTGCTACAAAATTTCCTCTTAACATTGCCTTAGCTGTGTCTCAGAGAGTCTGGTATATTTTACCTTTGCTCTCATTAGTTTCACAGATTTATAAAGCAAGTTCTTAGAGAGCTTCAGAGAGACTTAGACTCCCACACAATAATAGTTAGAGACTTCAACAACCCACTGTCAGTATTAGACAGATCATCGAGGCAGAACATTAACAAAGATATTCAGGACCTGACCTCAGCACTGATCAGATGGTCCTGATAGACATCTACAGATATCTCTATCCCAATACAACAGAATAGACATTCTTCCCATCACCACATGGCACATACACTAAAAGCAATGACATAATCAGACATAAAACACTTCTCAGCAAATGCAAAAGAAGTGAAATCATAACAACCACTCTCTCAGACCACAGCACAATCAAATTAGAAATACAGACTAAGAAATTCACTCAAAACCATACAATTACATGGATATTGAATAACCTGCCCTTGAATAACTTTTGGGTAAATAGTAAAATTAATGCAGAAGCCAAGAAGTTCTTGGAAACTAATGAGAGCATTAGTAATTTCTATCTGAAAGATAAAATTGTTCAAAACAAAAAAGTGGGGGAGATGATTTAAGGATTTCTCCATTCCTAGCCAATATACATTTACCTTAAAACGAATATAAAATCTCAAAGATGATGAGAACAACTGCAGAATTATAATTTCTAGTAGTGTCATAATACTGGCATCTATTCAGCAGAAATATGTCTTTTACTCAGTAAAGTATATACTTAAATTTCTAAAACATAATTGTTTTTTCAAATGCATTTTATATTTATGCTATTCATATTTTGGAGAATTTTAAATTCATACTTTTCATTAAACATTATGTTACAAAGTATCATAGATAAACATTATATTAGGCCATAAAATAAAAATAGAGCCAAGAAATCCAGCTGTCAAATACAAAAGATTTTATCGCAAGATAGAATCACTATGATTTATTTGGGGAAGTATTCCATATCTATACAAATTTCCTTTCTACTAATCTCTAAACGAAAGTTGCTATATTTGAGTATAAGTCTATTCAGAAGACTTAGTAATCACAAAACATTTAAGCCATCTCTGTCATTTAATAAATGTGTAAGTTGAAGCCTGAAAGAGTTAAGTGACTCAGACTCCATTTGGTATAAGAGGCTGTCTTTTGTCAGCAACATTTACAGCTTTCTTTAATTTACCCCACTTAAGGTAATAACTGCAGTTATACTGTAATTCTGCTAAATACCACTGAATACTATTGACCACATCCAACTGACACACAAATGACTGAGGGATAAAACTGTAAACACAGGAATAGTATTTATTGTACGGGTTTCTCGATCTTAGCACTACTAACATTTTGGATCAGAGAATTCTCCCTTGTGAGGAACTCTCTTGTACATTCTAGAATGTTCAGCAGCATCCCTGGCCTCTATCTAGAGGTCAGTAGCACACCCACAATTGTGACAACCAAAAATACCTCCAGATGTTGCTAACCACTGGTCTAATCACTGGGAAGAAAATTGCTGAGTTATATATTTTTAAAACTAGATGAATTCTCGTTTCATCTTTTTCACCATAATCATTTTGGAAACTCTCAGAATTTTCTACTTAATCACGCTGATTCTAAACAACATGCAATCTATCTCAATGAAGTCGTCTCAAAATTATATGTCTCCAATTCACAGGTTTTACCAATTATAGAATGTCATGTAAATAGTGTTACGGTAGTTAAGAGCAATCAACTTAGACAAACACTTCTGAAATAAAAACGTAAAAATTAATGATGCAACCTATGTGATTATTTTGATTCTCACACAGCTTCACAATTGATTCTTTTTTTTTTTTTTTGGATAAGCATTAGCTTCATGCCTTTTGTATATCCTTCTGAATTTTTTTATGACATTGTCTCCTATAATAAAGTCTTAAATTCTCTTCATGTTCGATTTGTCTTCACAACTTTGAGCCCTTATTTTATTCAATGAGAATATTCTCCATGATGTTTATAACCCTGGGGACACAAGGCCCTATAATCTTATTCCTTCTTGCCCTCTTCCTCCCTCACCATTTTCAGTACTTTTATTTTCTTCACAACAGGAAACACTGTAAAAAGTAATCAAGCATTATCAAACTTTTGGTTTTAGTGGGTTTTAAAATGATTATTGCTAAGATCATGCAACGATCTTTGCTTTTCATGCTGACCTTCAACAAATTTCCTGATGTTCTGAGCAAGAGTCCGGACGCTGCTGGGAAGATTCCAGGGGTCTTGCTTGATATGAAGCCGTAGCCTTTTTGGACAACTCAGCTTTGGTTCCATTTCCTGTTGAAATTCTAAATAAACACAGAAAATCTCTCTTAAGTCTCAACTTGTTCCCAACCAATTAAGCCTTTAGGCTTCAAAACCTTCTTCTGTCACTGTTGTCCTAGACTATTAACATGGTGGTCATTTATTTTGCCATACTGTCAGAAAATCCGTTAAACCTAAAAAGTCAAACCTTAATGTTATTTTCTTACAAATGTTTAAACAAAGCAAATCTAGATGAAAACTCTACTTTCATTATCCCAACTAGTTACTAGTCAGACTGGCAGCTCCATCCTTTCCATTCATCAACTCTCATTCCCCACACCCTTTCCTTACCACGGGGAAACAGCCAAGGAGACATTATGCTTGGGTTCAGCAAAATCAACTTCATGCTTATGTACCTTCGATTAACTCATTTTTGCTTAGCCTGGCCCCTATAGGCATTAAACATTTTAAACTTTCAAATAAATGTAAAACTTCCTATGCTGACTTTTTTACATATTAAAAATTATCAAAATAGAAGTAGTATCCAGTGAATTATGAAACATGAGTAAACGGAATTGCCCCTCTTATGCAATCTCCTTGCTTCTTGACTATATTGTCTACCACCTTTTTTTCTCAATTGCTTCTATTAGTTAATTTTTCAAGACTTACCTTGCAATCCTCGGCCTGGAGTGAGATACTTGGTTTGGTCAAAGGCCCTCACAACAGCCTGCCCTTTTAGGAGATTGGTAATTGAATCCACCTGTCAATGGTAAAGATTTCTGAGTTACATATCTCTCATAGTACATGATATGTATTTCTAAATGTAAATCTTATAAAATGTTTTTTTAAAACAACAATTATTTTTGAAACCCCGTGATGCCTGTGAAATCCATCTTTACATAAAATATTGAAATAAATGCACCTGATAACATTTGCAATGACATTTCTTACTATCTTACCATATATTAATACAAAATATAAATTTACCTCACAAAAGAACAAAAAATCTCTGGAGTTTTCTTTAACTATAAGTTATTGGAATCCTTTTCAAAGTGGTAAAATCTTCTACTACAAATTTTGGTTATAGCTATACATTTTTTTAATTTAAAATGACAAAATTAACATCCAAGGCAATATCTTGTGCTTTTTAAAATTAGAAATAATGTTAAGCAAGAAATATCATAAAGCTTTTTGAAAACAAAAAACAAAAAAACAAATCCTAAAAAGGGGAACTCCTATGTGTATCACAGTAATTTTCCCAGGACTGTAAAATACTTGATATTCACAAAAATCCTTTAGGTGAGTTGGCTGAAAGAATGTTTATTCCTAGTTTAAACGTCAGAAATAGAGGTAAAGGAGGTGGAAAGACAGATTGAGACCTTTCTGTTCTAACTCCGAGCTCCTTGTACTGCATCTGAAAAAGGGACTCCTGACAGTTTAGTTGTGGAACAAAAGCCCCACAAATGCCCGATTGTACCTGGCTGAAAAGATGCTCAAGGCAACTATGTATCTTGTCCTGTTTATCATGAGAAATGCGAACACTTAGGGGAAGTTCATCACCTAGATATCAAAACAAAAACAAAACCAAAAACAACAATCACTCATCTTATGTTTAACATTCCAAAATATTTTAAATATTAAATAAAATGTAAAAATTAAACACAAGCTCTTATTCCATGCACAGTTCTCATGTTCAGAGAGAGTTCCAAAAGATTTAATAGCTCCTGGGATGTTATTACTTCTTCTGAAGGCAGAGTGACCCCTAGAAAGGACACTTGTTAATTATTCTTTCAAATTATGTTCCTCCAATGGTTGAAGAGTTGAAATAAACTGAATAATCAAAAATTAAGATTTTCCCTAATTGGATGAAAAGTATTTGTTCTTAACACATACAAGATAATAATAAGATAATTATATCAATCTGTTTCTCTCATTACCCTCAATCCTCATCATCCACATATAAAGCTAGCTTAGGTGAACCTGCTGTCTTTAATGCTTCAAACTCCACACCTGCCTATCCCCATCAACAACGCCTAATACTTTCAGTATGTTTCCTGTGTACCTATAATCCTTCGTAGAACCATAAAGAGATCATAGAGCATATCTGAAGATTACAATTAGTTTGCTTATTTCATTGTTTTTTAACTCACTCCCTTTAAAATGGGATTGGGAAATAGACTATCAAGCACATAAAATTGAAATGCAATAAGTGTGGCCACAGAGAGTGAATGATAAAAGGTAAAAATAAAAATTCATATGGATCTAAGAAATTAAAACCTTAAAGTTATCTCCTTTAGGACTAACATCAAAAAGCCCACAGGCCTTCACCAACGAACATACCTGAGTCCATTTCATCACTGTGGAAATACGAGCTGCACTGGCTGCTGCAGATGCTGGTGAAGGAGGCGATGGAATTCCTATTGCTGTTGCAGTCACTGAAAACAATAAGTTTCATGTTACTGTAAAAGTGCAACTGCCCAGGTGTCCCTGCAATTTCTTATGACATAAACTTATATCAGTTATATTAATTAATATGTTTTAGAGAAAACTAAGAGAAAGATAAACTTGTTCAACTCAGTCTATCTTACCTTTTAAAGATGGCATATTTTCGATTCAATTATATTTCAAATTTTCTTGTATCATATAATCTAGTCCCAAATGATTTAAGGGCAGTTAGTTATAAAACTAGGAGTCACACCAAACTTAAAATTCTTTATAATCTGTTTCATGATATATGACGGTAATTAGATAACTTGCTAATAGAGACAAAACACCGTTTTGTGATTTCTGTCCCTTTCTGATATCTTAAATCATAACTTATTGGTTACACTCTGAGCTTCCTTATGGAGGATAGGGACTTTGTCTGTCTCCACCTCAGAGCTTTTAGCACAGGGAAGTGCTTGATAATGATGAATGCCCAAGGAAAGAAATGTTTAAAATGTTTGTGTGTGAACAGGGACAGATTTCAGGAATAGTGCAGGAGATAAAATATTTTCTTTCCTCTCAGAATAAGTAAAAAGGACTTTCTTAACTTTAAATTTACATTTAAAATTTCTATCTTAGCCTAGAGGGAAACTGTCAGGGTAATTTTAATTATCTGATAACTAGAACTTGAGTTAAGGAAGTATTTTTAGATGTGTAATTTCCCACCGGGAAAAACCCTACAGATTCCTATTAAAGAGCAGGTTGGGATGCTCAGAAGTGAAAAGTAAATGAAGTGATAAAAGTGGTTAATCTGTCTGATCTATGATTAAATCTCTAGAATAACTCTTATGTGTTCATTAAGATCCTTTTTGAAAACATAGAAATTGGAACAGTAGAGTGGTTAAGAGACAAACTGGGAAGCCAGACCACCTGGTCTCATAGATAAATGATATCCGCCCTCCGGGCTTCAGCTTCCTGATATGTAAAATGGAGTTCCTATCAGAACCTGCCACCGAGGGTCGCAGTGAGGATTATGTAAAATCTTCCTCTTCCCCCATGTGTTTGGTAAAAGTATATTTTTAATGTTAGCTCCTAGTTTGTAACTAGTTATATATACTCTGATGAGAACTTTGATTACTATTGAATCAGTATCTTTTCATTGCAAAACACTGCATAATAAACGACTGAAGAAGATAGTTTTTGCTTTCAATTAACATAAATGAAAAAGATGTTAAAGTTGTATACACAGCTTATGTGGCTGGTTATGACAGTCCTTAGGGAGGTATCAGGTGATACACGGATTCAAGGAACAAAAAGCACTTTCAATTAAGGAAGTTCATGCGAGGAGACATCATTTGAAAGTCTAGTAGGAAGACAAAAACAGAGTCTGGAGGGAAAGTATTTGGGGTTGAACAGGGTCTCCCAACAAAATTCATGTGGTTGAAAAGTGATCCCTAGTGCCTCAGAATGTGACCTTATTTGGAGATAGGGTCTTTACAAAGGTAATCGAGTTAAAATGAGGTCATTAGGGTGCCACCTTAAGCCGCCCTATAAAATGTCCTTATAAGAAGGGAAAATTTGGACACAAGATACATATGGAGGGAAGAGAATGTGCAGAGACGCAGGGAGAAGATGGCCGTTTACACTTCAAGGAGCCAGGCCTGGCACGGATCCTTCCTCCACAGCCTTCAGAAGGAGCCAACACAGCCCACACCTTGGTTTCAGATTTTTGACCTCCAGAACTGTGTGATAATAAATTTCTGTTGTTTAAGCTGCCCAGTTTGTAGTAATCTGTTACAGCAGCCCTAGAAAACTAATATAGAAGGTATCCAAGACAGTAAAAAACGCAAGCTTTGTCTCAGAGGTAGGCAAGGAACATTAGTCCAATTAGTTTGGAACATAGAAAATGAAAAGAAAAGAGAGAAAAAAGGGCCAAAAGAACTCCTATTCACTACCCAATAAACCAGTGACAGAAACAGATAGTTGAAAAAGATGTTAATCCCTCAGATTAGACACAATTTTCTTATTTGCTATATATGTTATACAATCCATATACAGAACAACTCTCCCAAATTGAGCTCACACCACCACAGAAAAAATGCTTTTTCCAAGCTATTCATATTAGAAAAGGGAAGGATTTGAAATATTACACTGTCCCATTATGCTTTGTCTGAGGTCGGTAATAACAAGTGACGACTGTGAAAGACCAACTAAAAAAAAAAAAAAATCAAAAACTTTTTTCAAGATCTTTGTGGAAAATCCAGCATCACGTTTGACTTTCTTGAGTAAATGAGTTTGATGAGTTAGTGAATTACCTGTAAGAGTCTCTGTTGCTGATGGTATCATGACCAGAATCTTCCTGTTCATCTCCTGCTACATTAAAACAGACCCGTTTGCTGTTTCTTTCTCCCTTCTCATTGTCACTGTCTGTTGGTATTATGCCCTCCGATGTCTTACGTTCTAATTTAGGAGAATATGTTATTGAAGACAGAAGGCTGCAATGTAATATTAAAAAAATAAATGCACATTTTCAAACTGTCTGCTATAGATAACTATCTTATTTGCTGAATACAATAGGCTTACAAATATTTCTAGAGTGCTTCAATGTTTCATATCAAGTAAATATTCTATTGCATAAAAAGCATGTCATTCAAAGTTCACTTGTTCTTCACAAAATGAGTCATACAAACAGCATAATTTAGACCAGAAAGCTTCATTGAAATCCAGGTTGTGCCATGCATGACTACAACTAAAACAAAGCTGTGGTAGTTCTATTGGATACTTGTGAAATGGGGATAATGAGAATAACTGGCTTCCATGACTGCCATGAGAATGAATATTCCTGGTGCATAATGGGTGTTATCTTTAGCCCCTGGCCATTAGCACAACCATCACCACCTTACGGAAATACTCAACAATCTCCAAAGTGCTAGCCAAATATTAAACCCAAACTGTAAACGGGCCTTAATGTCCTTACTGGCTCACATTCAGTATTAAAAACCCACCTATCCCTCTACCTGTGCCTTGGGTTTCGCCCTGGCATTCCCTATTTGACAGGGAGAATATTGGATTGTCAATCCCTCTCCCTGCTCATACAAACAGGAGTCCTGGCCTTGGGGATTACAAGACAGCAAACAGAGTAACACACAATGTGAGGATGGGGTAATTACAATCTCATCTGCAAGCCAGCTAGGATGAAATGTTGCAAATCTGCCCACAGAAAGAGCTCCTCCACTTGGCTCCAGGGTAAAATGCTGCAGTCAGACTGAACTGTGTGAAACCTGCTGAGGACTTTGAGTAGCTGCTGACTCCAACACTAGGCTTGAACGTTTGCTGTGGCATGTTTCTGTTACAACTAACTCAAAATTAGGCAAAAATGGAATCGAACTTTATTGTCAAACAGCATGCTAAAAAATTTGCAAAATGAATTAAACCATGTCTAAACAAAGGACCCATATAGGGCTTCTCAAGCCAACAGCCATCTTCACATTTACTAAATACCTGTGATTTTCAGTTCCAATCACTAGCGCATATCTTGGTTCTCATTTTTCCATAGCAATGTAATGTTTGTTATTTCAAGACTCTGAAGGTATCTTATACATATTCCATAATGTCAAACCCAATGCTGTGCATTGAATAAATACCTGTTAAGTGATTTCACTAAACACATTTATTATACCATGCATTGTTCTTGGTGCAGTGGATATAGCAGTTTATAAAATACACAAACGGGCCAGGCGTCGTGGCTCATGCCTGTAATCCCAGCACTTTGGGAGGCCGAGGTGGGTGGATCACACGAGGTCAGGAGTTCGAGACCAGCCTGGCCAACATGGTGAAACCCTGTCTCTATTAAAAATACAAAAATTAGCCGGGTATGGTGTCGTGGCGGAAGACTGTAGTCCCAGCTACTTGGGAGACCGAGGCAGGAGAATCACTTGAACCCTGGAGGTGGAGGTTGCAGTGAGCAGAGATCATACCACTGCACTCCAGCCTGGGCAACAGAGCAAGACTCCATCTCAAAAAACAAACAAACAAATAACAACAGTGACAAAAACAAAACACAAAAGCCCCTGCCTTCTTGGAGCTCAAATTCTACTGAGAGAAGACAAGTAAAAACAAGTAAACTTTCTAGTATATCAAATGGCAGCAAATGGTAAGGAGACAAACAAAGCAGGGAAGGAAGCGTGAAGCTGCCATTTCAAATAGCGGTGCAGTCAGGTCAGGTCTCACAGTGAGGTGAGATTTGAATAATATTTTGACATTTTACAGTTTTTAGACACCAGTGAAAAATTGAAGGAGCTATGTTACATTGCTCGAGGCCCTGTGAACATTTTTAATAACCAAAAGCTGTGGATGATTTTAAACACAGTTTTTCTCTTTGGAAAGATACTTTTATGTCGTGTAAGACAGATTGTCTATTTATTCACCCTCTCCACCCAAAAGATTAAAACATTAGACTAACTCCAATTATCCAAGCTCCATGCTGCACAGACAGATGAACTTTGAATACCAAAGAGGAAAAAAAACGCAGGAGTTCTCATTTTGCAAAGAGCCCTCTGCGCTTATGTATCTTTTAAATTAGAAGTCATGGGGCTAAGCATAATTTTTTTCAAAGTTACATGAATTGTATTCAGATATTTGCTTTTCATTTAAAACAGCTGCAATCATGCTTGCGTTGACCCTGTGGGAACAAGTGTTAGGCTTACAAACAAATGATAGAAAAACTGTATTTTAAACACCATGTTTTGCATAAAATTTCTAGATTCTGAAAAGCAACAAGCCATCAAACCATAATATTTGTGCTTGCAGAAATCCCTTCACTTTCATTCATACACAATATTAAGTTACCTACTAGAGGTCCATTAATTAAAAGCTTCAGCAGCATGCAATTCCAGGTGAATCTCCTCCTTGTGCCATTGATAAAAAAGATTTTTGTATACAGTATGTTGCAATGACCTGTGTGTTTTTAAACATCATCATCATTGCTAACATCTGTTGAGCTTTTATGACAGTCACCATGCTAAGTCTTTAACAGGTATCAATTCATTTAATCTCTAAAACCACCTTATGAAGTAGGTATTATCATTATTTCCCCATTTTAGAGGCGGGGTAGGCAAAACATATTGTTATATACATAGCCTGTGCAAATTAAGCAGGATTCCCTCTCCCTGCATCTAACTTGCATACTCTGGAGGGAGTAGGGTGCATCCCGGTGTTTCATAACTCAACTCACAGAAGTACTGTGAGAATGAAATCAGCCAACGTATGTAATAGTGTAACCTTGCCTGGCACATAAGCACCTATAAAAAAGCTGGTTTTTATGGTGTGCCCCTCTTTTTGTGTATTTACTAGCAAAATGCTTGGGGAAACCTCAATGATTACTCTACCACCACCACCAGCATTCCTCTCTGTAACCCCCGGGTTACTAACTGTCTGAAAGTGTGGTTTGTTCATCACTCAATCCTGAGGCATCTGGCACCTGCAAAATGAAGTCTGTTCTCAAATCCCCTGTGATTACCAGGCCCCTTTCCTCCCTGTGAGAATACACAAATCCTCTATTTTAAAACCCTGTCAAAGGTTTTGGACATTAATTATTTTTCCTTTTACTTATTTCTTGTACCTAAGTGTCATTACCCAGTAAATAGCCCATTAAAGGGCAAAAGTCGTTAACTTTCCAAAGTGAAACCAGAATCACAAATCCTTGATTAAATTCATTACATCATCTTACCTCATGTTACTAGACAGGAAATTCATCTCTAATTCTATCTTTGGGTCTGAAGCTAAGTAGGAGGATTTAGTGAAATGCCTCTGTGTTAAAGGAAATTTCATTTCTGAGAGGTATTCCCAGGTGACAGAACAACCAGACTTTATGATAAGACAAGCTCAACCTCAGGACCTTTCACAGGGATGAATAACTTCTAGAAAAGCTAACACTGAGGTGTTATCAGGCAATTTATCTTAAAACTTGGCAACACATCTGAGATCTGCTGCTTCACTTGCAAAGACATCTCTGACTAGGAATAATTACTATAGGGTGAGAAAATTGTTCAGATACTAGATTTTTAAATAATGTGTTAACCTCGACTGCATGGCAGCATCTCTGAATATTAAAAGCAATGGGGAATCCAGGCACTTAAAACAACTGTACTGTTGTACAGCGATTTATATTGCACATTAAGTTGTGTGGAACCTATTAATACTTAGAATTAAACTATGCGGTGTACCCAAAGAAGACCAAGGTGGTTTCTCCAATCATTTGCTCACTTTTTGCCACCTTTCTAATAAACATGCTCAGCTGGGTAAAGGTTTTCAGAATAACAGGGTGGGGAAAACTTCAGTGAAAAGTAATCATTTTAAGTAGTTTTAGTTAATAAAAATAACTAGTCTGCAACTAGTGCCTTAAATATAAACATTTTAAGCCAAGTAAAAGGAGCTCCTTGCGTTTACATATTTTTCCTGAAAATACTTCTACATCACCTGAACCTTTAAAAAAAATTCAATAAATTAACAAAGACAAAGCCTGGAGGATTGCCAGGCAGTGCTAGATCGTCAATACATTAAAGATTAGTCCCTGAGCAGTGCCAGCTGAGGCACATCAATAATCTTGCCATTGACAAGACTCATCCCAAAATGGCAATAACAACTCTTGGAACTGGAAGTATGGGATTGGTCCAGATGTTTTCTTAAAATCTCTTTGAGGCCTAGAAGCTATGATTCAATGCCACTATTTATTGCCTTATTAATAAAAATTCTATATACTTCATAAATACCTGTGGTAGACAACAACTGGTTTTTAAAATATATCATGCAACAAAATCTCATTTATTAAATGAAGTAAAATATCATATCCTAAAATACAAACTTCTGTCACAAGGATTCCAACACAATTCAAAAATGTCATGCAATTGCTTAAAAAATACTTTCCTTTTCTCTTAGCAATCTTGAACTGTTTAATTCATCTGTAAATAGGAAAAGCCACAGTATAATACACAAAAATAGTATATTAGAAATAGAGAAACAAAATCTTAATTCTAAATCACTCATAAAACTTCAGAAAATTAGCAAAGTAAATACTAAATATTGAGGATAATTTTTAAAATATAATGCATCTAATATGATTTTGATCTCTAAATTTCAAAAACGTGTAAAATGAGAGATCATGTCAATTATGACTTCATCAGTATAATGTCTAATTACAACAAAGGCTTGGAATAAGGCCTAAATATTTTGTGTCAAAACTGAATTATCCATGAAATACAGGACAATAGGTGTGTGTGTGAAGTCAAGAGTTCATATCTGTAGCCATTTAAATCAACAACTTCATGAAGAGAGTACAATAAAAAGAAGATAATATTTCTATTAGTTTCAGAATCTGCTAATTGGGGATATATTCAATAATTTCTACCCCTTGAATGGATGAGCAAGCATTATATTAGGCAGCGTGCTGATTACTTTCTGTATTAATTTGTATAACTTTCATCACCACAAACTTGTAATTCATTATTATTACTCATTCACTTCTGTAGATGAGAAACTGAGCTACTTCAAACCCCACGCTGTTCTGACTATACAGAGCTGTCTGGACTAGATGTGAAGCATCGTCCTATACCATGATGCGACAAAGTACCCTCGCAAGCTCAGGCAATTCTCCAACCGTCAAATTCTTAAATAAGAATTAGAACTGATTTATTTGGAAAAGTGCTCATTAACTGCCTCCACCTTCTCTTGGTTAAAAATACTGGCACAGATATTTGGGTTATTGCTTAGCAGGCCATGAATTCAATCAGAAAAGAAAAATGTATTTGTCCTAGAGATACATAATTTTGCATTTACTCATTTAACAAGTATGTGAAGCATTTATTATACTTTGTCTTTTATAAATTTCTATTGAGTGCATATTCACCAAAATTTGTACCCTGAACTACAAAGAGTACAAGGAAATCCTCATACAAAACTGGTATGCTTTCAAATATATTTTTCAAGGTAACGTTTTTACACTAAGACTCATTTAGCATCCTTGTATAAGATAGAATTTTGTCATTCTCTTCCCTGGTATTAAATGCTTACTTAAAATATATATCTACACGTATTTTTTCCATTAAAAAACATTTTTAAAGTTTTGGAATGAAGAGGATCTGCATAATCAACACAAATCTAAATTTCCAATAACTAAAGAGAGAATTATTGAATTTTTCTAAGTCACATTTTTACAGCTATTTAATTTGGCAAACTTTAAAGTGTAGTACAAAACACTTACTCATCTATTTGACAAACACACATCTCCACCTCTTTCAGTGCAATCTGAAGTTTACCCAGCAGTTTCTGATAGATGTCTTGGGTTTCTAAGTCTTCTTCTTTCAGCAGATACCTGAGACCATGGCCATCCTGCTGTCCCAGAGACAGACCTGAAGGGGCCGCCATGGTTGTGATGGTGTGCTGAATGTACACCATAGGGCTCAGTTTCCCTGAGGAATTAAAGTCATTCCTTAGTAACATGTATCACCTTTAACTTATGATAACAATCCAGTCCAATTAATTTTTATTTTTTAATTGACAGATACAATTACATGTATTACATGTACAACCTGATGTTTTGATGTATATATGCATAATGCAATGACTAAATCTAGGTAATTAACATATGTATTACTTCACGTAGTTATCATGTTGGTGCTGAGAACACTGTATACCCACTCTCTTAGGATTTATCAAGAATACAATATATTAACCATACTCGCCATGTTATACAATAGATCTCTTGAACTTATTCCTCTTATCTGACTGAAATTTTATATCCTTTGGCCTGCATCTCTCAATCCCCCACCCAATCACCCCAGGCCCTGGTAATCACCATTCTACTCTCTACTTCTATGAGATCAACTTTTTTAGATTCCTCATATAAATGAGATCATATAGTATTTGTCTTTCTGTGTCTGGTTTATTTCACTTTAACATAATGTTTTCCAGGTTCATCTATGTTGTCACAAATGACAGGATTTACTTCTTTTTATGGCTAAATGGTATTCTATTGTGTTTATATACCCCATTTTCTTTATCCAGTCAAGTTAAATTTGAGATTCCATAAAATAAAATGCTGATCCAATGCTGAATTTAATTCAGAAATTAGAGCTTGTGGGGAGTTGTAATTAAAAACTAGAAGACAGTTTGATCCCTTGTCCTACTGTAATTGTACAGAATGGCATAGTGCATTGCTGCAGATGTTCCTCACGTATTGTCCTCAAAGTTTCAGGGCCATGTCAGATGAGCAGCTTTCACAGCAGGATGAGCTGTGCCTATCATATGCATAAGGAAAGCAAGAGCAATCATCCTTCTTAGAAGAAAAATAACAAAAATGTCTAACTCCATTTTCATTCAGTATACACTTAGGCATAATTATCCAAGTGATTACAGTAAGAAATCCTTCCTTTATAAAAGGTCATGCTTGTTTGCACACCAGTTATCTATTGAATTTCAGGGCTGCACGAATAGCTATGATTGCCTAAATTACTTTTTACGAGTTGGTAAAGTTGCAAAAGCTAGCATACCTTGCTCCGAAGATTTGTTTTCTTTATCATGAGCATGATGCTTCCTACTATCCAACTGAACACCAAATGCACTTCCCAAAGAGGTTGATGTTTTGGGATAAGAAACTTCCATCACGTTGACATGGCAGTTGGTAGGGCAGAAATCACTGCTGTGCAGTGGGGAGATTTTAGATTTGGCCTGTTTAAAAGTAGGCCAGGCTCTATTCTTCAGTACACGAGAAAACTGCAAATTAAAGAAAACACAAAAAGCAGTTGAACACACAGTAATAACTCAGGCAAGTTTTTTTCACTTGCATCATTCACAACAAAATCAAAGGGAATTAAATCATGTCAACTTGAATGAGTGAAATCAATTATATGTTGTTAGAAATTACATTATTATTTCAAAACTCAAGCATTTTTAATAAAGCCAAGCAATATAAGCAGCAAATGCATATGATTCCTTTGAAACTGTGATTGCAACTTAGGTGTTCAAAGAAATGAATTTCTGTGGCCAGCGTAATATACTTGGACTCAAATCCACAGGCTCCCAGCAGCTGAAAGAGCCTGACAGGGCAAGTGGAATCCCAGGACACCAGGAGAGAACGGAGAGCTTCCAAACAAGGCAAAATGGCAAATCAGGGTAGCTGCTGAGTCAAGGGTGGAAGAAGATGGGATGTCCCAAACACAAGCATAAAGCTAATCCAAAGCACCAGTCTGTGTACAGGTCAGACAGTAAGGTGTGGCGGCTGAGGCCCAGAATGGCAGGACAAATCTGTTTCCCATGCCTCCTGCTAATCACTGAGTCAGGATCAAACTGAAGACTGGTGTGCACTCTGCCTTTATGCTTTGAGAATAAAGTGATACATGATTTATATGACTTCTAAGGTAGCCACTCCACTGCTTCAAACCTTGCCATGGGTTTCCATTCAAATCCATCTATTCTTCGCCAAGGTCTCTAAAGCAGCCCAAGTCGGATGCCCACCTAGCTTCTCTATCTCAAGTTTTCTTCCCCTTGCTCCCTAAGCTCCTTCTGGCCCTCACTTGGTTTGTCTCACAAACTATCTACTCACTCTGACCCTTTCTACAGGCTGTTCAGTGGGCCTAGAATATTCTTCTTCCTGCATTGCCAAACTGTTTCCTTTGCAACTTCAAGTTCTATCAAATCATCAAGAGGCCTTCCCTGACTCCTAGTCTAGGTTCAATTTCCCTGACTACTGCTAAGTTCCAGCACACTGTAACCTTCCTATTATATAGGTATAAATAATTATCTTATTTCTAGCTCCCCTAGCAGATGGTAAACCCCATGAGGGTAATACGTAGGTCTGTTCTGTGTACTATCAGTAAGAGTCTGGTAGAGTTAGACTGAATTGTAGTCTCAAAAGCAAAGGATTGAGAGTCACTGTCTACCTGTGTATTTGTTATAGCTGTCATAATAACTGATATGATGTTAGGCAAGTCAGTGTCTTTTTTGCATTCTTCATAAAATAATGGACATGGATTAAATAATGTCTATATTATCTTCTCCCTTGAAAACTATAACCATGATCCTATCTATTTATCTACTAGTAGAGTAATACTTTTGGCATGGATAAGAATAAAAATTAAGACTATGGTCACTGTCAAACTTTTCTAGATTCAATTCAAGAATAAATATCAAAATTCACATTTCATAAATATAAGCTCACCATTAGAACAGGGACTGTCTTATATATATGTGTGTACATTATGCATATATGTGATATATACACACACACATGTACAATGTGTGTATTAAACTATGTCTTCAAATCGCGTGTCAGAAGCTGTGTAGCTCAGCCATGTGCCAGTGCACAGTAGGAATCTAAATGGAACTGAATTGAAATGCAGGAACTTATTAACAAAATGATGAGCAAATTTAATAACAATGGATAGTGAACATTTATCCTAAACTTTTTTTAAAGAAAGGAATTTAGAGAACTCCTAACCTATCCCAGCACTTTACTAATAAAGAAACGGTGACTTAGAGGCTTATGTGGGACATAGAATTTAAGGCTAGATGCAAAAACCTTTTTCAGTCAAAAGTTCTTTTCCACTGTTGTTGCAGGATAAAAGTCTCACAAGGCACCCATGGCACAAAAAAAGGCACAGAAATCAATTTTATTAGGTAACAGCATCCACCATAATAGGAAGTTATGCTTCTCTTGACTTCTTCCATTTTAAACAATTATCCATCCATTCAAAAGCAAGAAGAGAGGCATCTATTCCAGACTCTGTGCTCAATGCTGGAGATATAGCCCTTGCCCTCCTGGAGTTCACAGTCTAGTAGACAACACAAGAGAAACAATGCAATACTATTGCTATATGCAGCAATTGTTTATTGCAATTATTAGGTTGTAGCAAAAGTGATTGCGGTTTTTGCCATTCAAAGTAATGGCAATGTGCCATATATATAATACCTGTGCCATATATATATTACAGTAATGCATTGCTTAACAATGGGGATGCATTCCGAAAAATGCACCACTAGGGGCATCTATCTGAACACAGAAAAAGTAGAGTCAAAATATAGTATTATAATCTTATGGGACCACCATTTATATATATATGATCTGTCATTGACTGAAATGTTATGCAGTGCATGATTGTATATATGCAATCATATAATACACGTAAAAGCCAGATAATTAGAAATTTTGTTACAAGCTGAAAAGGAAGTGAACGGGGTGACGTCATGAATTGTTAATGGAGTGATCGGGGAGAGCTGGCAGAAGATTCCCTTGCTAGGGGGACTGGCTTTCCAACTTGTAGCTCAATACAAATGCCATGAATACAGAATGTCCCCTGCCCATATGCAGGAAGGGCTGTGTACTATGTCTAAAGGTGCCTGAACTGTTTCAAAGGGTAAGACTCAGACAGGGGCCCTCTCTGCTAAGATCAGTTCTTGAGAAGGAAGGTCCTCAGGAATGCAGTGCTGTCTTCCATCTTGGGATATTCCTAAGAGAGGAGGAGGCAGGAGGAGGAACCCCATAGTCACAGGTACTGGAAATGTGCTGCTTACACTGTGAAGATCAAAACTGTGCTCCCAGACAGGATGCCATGCTGTGAAACTGTAAGACCTTTCTGAAACTCGAACCTAAAATAAGGAAGGTACAGTTCATGGATTGACGGTGGTTCATGCATGAGAACATTCTGATTGTGCAAATGGGCCTGTAAACATCAACCTGCCTATCTTTTTAGCAACATCAAAGGAAACACTGAACTCATTAATCTGCTTTGGAGAAACTCCCAGGGAAAGGTTAAAAAACAAAAAAGTATTTTCCCCAAATAAAAACTGCAATTTTGCAATAAAGAAATGCAAAATGGGTGTGGAGAGAGATGCACTGGGAGGGACAGGACTTTAGATATACTATGAATACTACAAGTCCAAACTTACTGCCACCTTTATTCATTTATCCAACAATGACTTCTGGAAGGCTCTTTGGCATCAGGCACTATCCTCAGCATGTCGGGGAACATTAGTAAACAAAACAAAGATTCCTGCCTTCCGGGAGATTACCTTCTAGTGAGAGGAGAGGTCAACAGCAAATACTGTAAATCAATTATGTAATGTTGATAGATGGTAAATGTAACTGAAAACAAAATTGAGCAGCGTAAGAGGGTTCGAAGTTTCAGAGGTGAACTGAAGAATGGATTACCAATTGTAACCAGGATGATCAGAACAGGCCTCACTGAAGCTGACATTTAAGCAGTCCGGAAAGAGGGGGAAGTTAGAAATGTGAGCATCTGGAAAGGGGTCATTTCTGGCAGAGGGAACAGCCAGTGCAAAGCCACAGGACTGGTGTATCCAAGGAGCATCAAGAAAACCAGTGTGACCAGAGCAGCAGTGAGAGGGAGGCAGAGGAGGCAGGATTGGAGAAGCAATGCAGGGAGGGAGGGCACAGATCCTGAAGGCCACTGAAAGGATTTGGCTTTGACCATGAGTGAAGTGTACAGCCACTCAGGACAACTGTGAGTTGGCCAGGAGCAGCAAGGAGACCACTTACAGAAGAGAGATGGCAGTGGCTCACCCAAAGCCACCAGCAGTAGAGGTAGGGAGGAAAGGCTGCATGGTTGAAGGTAAAGCCACAAGAATGGTATGAGAGAAAGGGAAGTGAAGAGTGTATTCAAGGTTTTAGGCTGAGCAATGGGAAGGATGGGCATAAGCCCGAGAAAGAGAAGGCAGCAAAGAAAAGGCAAACTGCAGGGGCACTGGGGTGGGGCAGGGGAAGGGTCAAGAGCTGATCTGGAACATGTGAAGCGTGAGATATTGATTAAACCCAGTTGCAGAGGTCAAACGGGCCGGGACCCTGAATGAGATCGCCAGGGAATTGCGAATGGAGAGAGAGAAGGAGAAGACAGAGTCCTGAGCCCTGGAGTTTTACCAAGGAAAGGGGAGGGAAGAAAAGGAGGACCAGCTAGGATACCACAAAGGAGCCTCCACAAGAAAGGACAAAAACTAGGCATATGTGGGGTCACAGAGGACTGCCAAGTAGTGGTTTACGGTCAACTGCATCAGATCCCACTAAGACAAGGAATGCTATCAGGACAGTCAATAGACTTTGGCAAAATACAGCCATTTCAGTTACATAGAGGGGAGTAGAGGCCCACTGGAGTGTGCTGAGGGTAATGAAGGTGAGACAGCAGGTATAGACAGCCCTTTCCAGAATAAAGATCAAAGAAAGGGAACAGTACGGAGTAGGGGAGGGCTATTTCCTTTTAATGTAGGTGATATAAAGCATATTTCTACACTGACAGGAATGAACAATTTCTGGAGATAGAACTTCAGGTTTTTAACGCATTGGTAACTAATTCATGAATTATTGACCAGAGCAGCATATTTTAATCCAATTATAGTCACTTAACTAAAAGAAGTAATACAATGGTAACCTATTATTTTGCAGATAGCTTCCTATTTCAATTAAGCATAAAATCTTTGTGGCACGAGGTTATGAAAGCTTTGTATTGTACCCTTTTGAGGGAAGGGGACACGGGGAAGACTTTTTCTCGCAATCTTCCCGTCCATATATCAGTGTGAGGGTTACATGGCATGAATAAGTAAAGAGGGACTTCAGACATTCAAAGGAAGACTTCCAGTTCCTGCATGTAATATTTTTGTGTAAACAGGAACTATCCCTTGAATGTATATTAAATATTTCTATCTAGGAAGTATCCCCAATACCCAAAATAAGCCCAATTATGGAATTATTCTAAAGCAGAAGAACGACTGTAAAGCTAAAAAGTGTTTCCAGGACAATTTAGGGAGAAAGCATTCCTCCCTACGGGGCATAATTTTATGTCTGAATTATCCTCAAATCCTGCTCCACAGAGAAAAAAGTCTCGCTTAGGATTCATTCAGATCTTCAGTTAGTTCTGACCAGGTTTCATACACGTGCCAAAAAACATCTGTGGCCTGTACAACCAGCCAGGAAATCTATTATAATTGCAGCAGCCTTACTATAGAAGCTATAGCAATCAACTGGTTTCTATTTTTAAAACCTAAAACTTTCAGAGTCAAAATAAGGTAAAGCCAGCATCTTCGAGATTTTAGTTTCTATGGATACATTTTATTTCACAAAAAGAAGAGTGCTGAAGTCTTCATCAGGAAGAAAAATATGTTTCTAATAATAGTTTTAAAGTATATGTGTGAAAATTAAAAATCTATATTCTCAAATGCTATGGGTTCTGTTGACATGCATTTGATACATAAATGGAGCTAATCTTACATGACCTATTAGGGCTACGATCTTAGGCACCTAAATCTTATTCAAATTGAAAAGATCTTTGCAATATTTTCTTGCTAACCTTGATTCTCGATCTAATGAGAAAACCAGTTATTTTAAATATGTTTATGGCCAAATGGGATGATGACAAGGATAGCTTTTAAAGCACATAGGCCCTAGGTGACTACATGTCTCTTTTTTATTTCTAAATTAAACATAAACACAATGGAGACTCATTCCATAGGAACCTAGTCTGTTAGTTGCCACCTACGTGACCTTAAGCAAATTCTTAATCTCCCGAAAAAAAGAGGCAGGATGAGAGAAGAGTCCATACACATGACTGTTTTGATACTCAAGTAACAATAATGTACATAAAAGAGCTTTCTGCAATTCGGTGACATTATTTTTATCATCTAACATCATTGCCCATTAGCCTGTCCATCTGTGCCATAAAAGCTTCTAGGATCTCAGTTACTTATGAGTAAATGGAACACACTTCTCACCTTCCAGGGTGACGTTTTTGAGGATCTCCAACATTTGTTTAAGCCTGTGTTCTCTTGGTCCTCATTCTTAATCTGCTGCATCAATTTGCTAACTAATATACCCTGATCCTAAGATTATGTTTGTTTATATAGTTTACCATTTTCCATGTACACTTCTGTAAGCTACTTCCACTTTTTTATTGCATGAAAGAATGAAGAGAGGAAAGCAGGAAGAAAGCAAAAGAGAAATGTCCCAGGCATGGTGACCAGTTTGACACCCAGACTCTGCCTGAACCTGTATCACACCTTCTTGTACAAATCCATTTCTAAAGTAGAACAACTCTCTTTTTCAAAATTTCTTCAAAAGGAGAATACTGATTAGCATTTGTGCAGCAGTTTTTTTGCATTTGTTTAGACCTTTTACTTCAAAGCACTGTTACATTTCATAGAGAAATAAGAAGTAAGTAAAGAATCTTCTGTCCTTCAACTCCAACAAGGTACATTCCATGGAATCTTCCCCAGACTCAAATAGGTGAACTGAACCAGCAGCCATGAAAAGCAGATTAACAAAAGTGGCAGGTAAGCAGTGACCCTGAACATTAGTTTTCTTCACATGAATAACTTTTAAAAAGATACAATAGTAATGCAAACTCAACTCAACAACCCAACCATTACAGGAATTGTTTAAAGGAAAAAATCACGATCTCTCTTCCCTTGACTCACTCAGTTAGTAACCAATGTTTTGAGTCCCCTGGGTATTAATTTACATACATCCCTATTCTCATGCAGCCAAATATAGACATAGATGGGCTTATTTTAATTACCATATCAAGAACATAAAACACATATACTTACCACATATTCATATACATTGAGATAAAGAATATTATCTAGTACAACTGACCAAATTTTAAGCAACCAACTTCATTTGGAGGGAAATCATTTAATCAATTAGTCTTTTATTGGTATAAATAGAAATAATTTTTAAACTTGTTTTAGCATGTGTTTTGGAGATGAATTCCCATTAATTCTACCTTTAAAATATGTCCCCAAATTCATCTAATGTTTTTTGTCTCCTTCATCTTCAATGTAGTCCAAGCCATCAGCATCACTCAACTGGGCCACTGCAACAGCTTCCTACCGGTCTCTATTTCTCCATTTCTGCTCCCTTGCAATCCATTCCTACAAAAGCATTATCTTTCAAAAGCCTAAATCAGATGAAGTCATCCCCCTGCTTAAAACCTTCCAATTGGTTTTCATTAATATAATAATAAAATCCAAACTCCTTCCCAAGTCCCAAAATGTACAGGAGCTGCCACAGCTCTTCACAACTGGCCCTGCCTAAGCCTCTGACCTTAAGCCTGGCCACCAACCTCTGGCCACCCTGGCCTTCTTTCTGCTTTGGGGCCTCAATTACCAGCTGTTCCTTCTCCCTGGAGGCTTCTCTCTCCAACTGAAAGGGAGAGTTCTACTTGTCATGCAGATACACGCTTTCTCATAAGGGGCTTTCTCTAGTCACAGAGTCAAAAGGATCAACCTGGCATTTAAACCATACTTCCCTATTTTGATTTCCTTATAATTCTTCTTAATATTTGATTCCCCCCACTTTGTAGGGATTTATTTACTTCTTTGTTGTCTCTCCCACTTGAATGTGAGCACCATGAGAGAAGAGAAATTGTCTCCTTCCCTGCTATATTCCTGGAACCTAGAACAGTACTTGGCACATAGAGGGTGCCTAATAAATGTATCTCAAATGAACGACTTAATCAATTAATTTTTAAAAGCCCACAGTCCATGTACTTTCTGATTGAGGGTTTCCATTCTCTTAGTTGGGAGAAAAGGAAAGAAAAACAATAGTATAATTTTAAATTTTGACTTCAGAATTAGGTGGACTGCATTCAATGGCCAGCTCTATCTTTTACTAGAAAATAATTTAATTCTTTAGGCCTCAGTTACTATATTTTGAAGATGCGGGACAGTAACATAACTTACAAGTTTGCAAAGATCAAATGAGGTAATGGATGTTAAGGCATTTTAAAAACTCTAAAATGTTATATAATGTTATCATTTCAGTAAAATGGTACCTAACAAATATGTAAAGAAAATATCAAGAATTGATTTAAATTTTACATTTAACTAATAATCTCAACAATAATGATGTGTAAAATCAATAGAACCCTTACCTTTTTATAACTGGATATTCTCTGACATATGTGTTCAATTCTTTCACTGCAAAGGGCACTGAATTTACTCTGAAGGTCAGTAGGAATCACTTCATTTAGAGAATTTAGGCTGGTGCAGTTGTGTACGAAATGCTCATCACTTTTAGCCAGGGCTTCAAGAATCTGCAATGACAAACACACACGCACACCCCCACACACAAACACACATACAGACACACACATCGAAAAACAAAACAAAACAAGAAGAAAAACTTCAAAAGTAGCCACATCAAATTTTTGTAAGTTAACAATACAGGGCAACTTTCCTATTTTGCTCTCTGGGTAGCTGCCAGGGAATTTCTACCTTCAGTCAGGCACTGTCAGTGAAGTGATCTGACCTGTCTGTCTGAAATTGCAGGTTTTCCTTCTGCTAACTATAGGAGCCTGCTTGGTGACGCAACTGGTCTTCAAAGACTCCCTGCTGGATACATCAGTACATTCTGATGTGGGACACGTCTATATTTTAGTTAGAGTGACTCAGGACATTTTTTTTCTCAATTTGGTAGAACAAGAAAACATAAAGCAATCCAATAGCATGCTTGTTACTTAAAGTCTAGCAAATGCAGAAAGAAAATATTTAACAACTGCTTGCTGAAGAAATGAATAAATGAAGTTATTTCAGTACGACAGAAATTAATCTGACTTGCAGTATCTGAGCTCTTGCTGATAAAAGCATTAGATAAAAGTATTTATGTGATGTTTTCAATTAGTAAATTCTTTTGACTATTTGAATCAATTGTAATAACATGTGTTGGTGGGGAAGGTGTACCATCAATCACTAAGAATTTCCAATGACCTGAGAATTAATTATGGATTATACATAGATATAGAGATACGTAGCATTTCTGATTAATCAGACATTGCAAGAATGGATTATACCCATAACCAATATTTTATGATATTCTGTGAAACACAAAATGTATATATGTTCTGGTTATTTGAGCTCCCTCACCACCTTCGCTTCCCTTTCATGCTGACTATGGAGTATGAGTTTTTATTTAATCACTAGTCTAGAACTTAGAGCTAACTTTATCATTAGCAGTGTGACCTTGGCTACATTTCTTACTTGACTGACTTTTCTTCATGTGTAAAATCCAAGTGATATTTGCAATACTAGTTTATATGTTGTCCTATGTAGAATAATCCATGTAATTCTGCAAACATGAAATAGCTGGAAAATGAGAAAATAATTATAATATCCTGGTTTCAAACTTTTACATGGATCCCATTAATACTATAATGTAGATGGGAAGAGACTGCATTTTAAAAATATATATTTTAGATATCAGTAGATACATATAGAGGTACAATATCATCAGAATGATGAGATTTTTAAAAAGTTAACTTTCAGAACATAAAACCAAAAGACAAAATAATTATTTTTAAAATAGTTCATTTAGATGTCTATATTATTTCCTCCTGCTAAAATTTTAAAAATACATGATAGAAATGCTACATCTATCTCAACTATTCATATTTTAAACAACAATTCAAACAGAGAAATAAAGGTAGGAAAGCTACATCTCATTTTTCTTACTTGTACTATCTGAATTCTTATAGCATATAGAGCCATATGAAACACTAAATCCAACACCTGTGGAGGATACAGTAGGAGTCTGATGGATTTCCCTTGTAGGCAGGCCATGAAGAGCCAGCAGTTGCCTCTTTACCATGTATTTTATTCATTTGGATAAAGGCTCCCTTCCTTCCTCTCCATCTTGTTTCAGTCTAAGCACCTTTGCAAAGGTGATGTCTTTTCCAAATGAGAATTACATAAATATCAGAGGATCTATTCATAAACTGATCTCTACGGTTCCCGAAATTTTATGAAATAAACATGGCACCTGCCAAATTTGAAATTTCTCATAATGTATTTCACGACTTTGAATACTCTTCAGAGGATTATGTATATTAAAAAAAAAAAGCAGCATCTGTCATGAAAACCATCTGAATTGTATTCACAATAATGAATTCACAGACACAGCAAACTTAATAAATGCTGAAGTCCTTGCCATATCAATGAACACCTGCCTAAGCAAGGGTTTCATCTAACTTAACACTGTGCTCTGAAAGGATCAATAAAAGGAAGTTGTATGCATACCAAATAGTGGAGGAGGGGGAGAAAAATAAGAAATTGAATGACTCTGGGCACAGTGGCTCACGCCTGTAATTCCAGCACTTTGGAACGCCAAAGTGGCTGGATCACTTGAGGTCAGGAATTTGAGACCAGCCTGGGCAACATGATGAAACCACGTCTCTACTAAAAATACAAAAATTAGCTGGGCATGGTGGTGTTGCCTGTAATCCCACCTATCCTACTTGGGAGGCTGAGGCATGAGAACCCGGGAGGCGGATGTTGCAGTGAACAGAGATCACACCACTGCACTCCAGCCTGGGCGACAGAGTGACACTCTGTCTCAAGAAAAAAACAAAAAAGAAGAAGAAGAAGAAGAAGTTTGAATGAGCTGACAGCTGCAACATGTATAGCTATTTTTATTTTTTTAAGTGAAGGAGGGGGAGGATTTCAGTTCCTTTATTTAGAACAAAAAATCTTATTTCTTCAGCATCACTCCTACCTTGGCAGTTAAGCTGAAGAAACCTTTGGGCTCAATCATCTTTTCCACCACATTGCACTTGATGCCAGCTGTGCTGTCATACTCATATACGACACCATACTCCAGGTGGACATTGTCCACTGTCAGACTCACATGCTCCTTCTTCCCGTCAATGATGGCCATAGTGTTGAATTTGTCAATAACCTCTGGAATAAAGACAATTGTAATTCAGCAAATTCATGAAGGGTTTGTTAATCTCCTCAGATAATTTTGTGTCTCTTTAAATAATTTTTAAAGAGTTCTTTAAGGGATGGTTAAATCTGATGTGTTAAATGAAGCGTCTATTCTTGTTAACATTTAAAAAAATAACATTTCGAGAAAAGCATATGCTTGAGTGATCCAAACCTCAGCACTCTAACATGACTAGTCTTATCTTTGTATATCTACTTCAATCTGTGGACCATATGTCTACCTATTTATACCAACATAAATACTATACATAAATTTTCTTTATTAAAGACCTATATGACTTAAAGTCAGGATTTCTAAAACTGCCTCGAATGTTGTATGAATATTTTCTCAAAGCAGGAAAAAAAATCCATAAAGAAGGCCATATTGAAGAAGCAGAAAGGAGATGCAAGAATCATTTTATTTTGGCAGGCAGGGTGCCTGCAGTTTCCCAAACAGCATCTTACAGAGAGGGCTCATTGAGAAAATTTCTCATTGTTCACTATAATAAAATTTCCATCTAAAATGTCTGCCTATAGTTTTTTAGCTTACATAAGGTACATCAGCTGGTGAAAAAATACCTAAAATCTCAAGTAAGAAACTCCTGGGAAACCTAATAGTAATTAAACAAACAAAACTAGAATATTAGTTTACTTAGAAAGACAAAGCCCGAAAATAGCATAAACAGTAAATATTAAATAGGTAAAGTAGAATATTGATTTATCTTAAAGTAACTAAGTCCTAGAATAGCTACAAATCAATTTCCAGAGCATTACAGCAACCAATCTACCTTTCAACGTGGCACCAAGGTTGATTTATTCCAAATTAGGAATATAAACCTCAGAATAAGGTCCTGAGATTTGTCCTATTTTAGATAAATATTATATATTACCATAACAACCTTATTGCTCCAGTGATTTGAGATGTTTCTGATACTACCCATGACTTGGGTAGCATCCAACAAGTGGCCTTCCAGGAGTGCAGAGAAAATAGCTTTTCCTAAGTACCCCCATATGATCAGTGTGTATAGGGAATATACAATAAGAAACATATGCTGGGCGCCGTGGCTCATGCCTGTAATCCCAACAGTCAGGGAGGCCAAATGGGAGGATCACTTAAGCTCGGGAGTTTGAGACCAACCTGGGCAACATGGCAAGACCTTGTCTCTATCAAAAATCAAAAACATAAGCCAGGCATGGTGGCATGCGCGTGTAGTCCCAGCTACTGGATGGGGTAGGGAACTGACGGGGGATCACTTCAGCCCAGAAATTAGAGGCTGCAGTCAACTATAATCGCACCGCTGCACTACTGCAATCCAGCCTGGGTGACAAAGACAGACTCCGGAAAAAAAAAAAAAAGAAGAAGAAAAGAAAAGAAAATTAAAGGAAAGAAAAGAAAGAAAGAAATATATGTATCTAGGTATTTGGCCCCATTCCTAAAATAGAACGTTTAAATCCTAGTGATTTACTGAGTGATAGAGGTGACAGGAATGTCTTTGTTATTTATAACAAGCCCCCTTAGAACGTAACTGAGTTTATGTGAATGAGGTGGCACTTGGTCAGCCTACAGCTAGCCTCAGGATGGGGGCTGGTTGTCAGGGTAACCAACCATGCGATTAGGGGGCTGGAGCTTTCAGCCCCACCCCTGAACCTCTGGGGAGGGGAGAGAGGTTAGAGTTCAAGTTCGGTCACCAATGGCTAATGATTTAATCAATCATGTCTAAGGAACGGAACCTCCATAAAAATCCCTAAAGGACAGGGATCAGAGAGCTTCTGAGTGAATGAACTTACCCGCATGTCTGGAGGGTGGCACACCCCAACCCCTCACAGAGCTTCCCACCACAGAGCTCGGTGCTCAGCACTCTTCCGGACATCATCCTAGTTATCTCTTCATCAGGCTTTTCATTTCTTATCCTTTATAATAAACCAGTGTTTGTAAGTTTCTGGGTTCCCTGAGCTGTTCTAGCAAATAACTGAACCCGAGGAAGGGATGTGGCAACCCCCTGAATATATAGCCAATTGGTCAGAAATACAGGTGAAAGCCTGGGACATGTAACAGGCACCTGAAATAGGGGCAACCTTTTGGGACTGATCCCCTAACCTGTGTGTCTGTGCTAACGCCTGGTTTTACAACTGAGATGACTTGTAGGACACCCAGTTGGTGTTAGGAGATTTGGGGAACTGGTTGGTATGGGGAAAACCCCACACACATAGGGTGTCAGAAGGGTTGTGAATGAAAACACCTCAGAACAGGTAATTCTTCTCCAGCTGTGCTGATTGGGAGGAATCTAACAGTGTAATAAAAAATATCCAGAGACATCCACCAATAATGAGTGGAAAGACACCAAGAAAATAGAAGAGGTGATTCATGGGCTTCTGTGAAAAAGTTTTGAAACAATAATTTAAGGTATCTGTCAATTGCAGACATAACTGTAATTGCCTCAGTCGCCCTTGGTAAAGAAGCCACTGAATAGAGCCATTTGCTGGTTTACTCCATTGAGGAAACAGAAATGATAACCGTCCTTATCAAAAGATCTCTCTCTCTCTCTCTCCCTCTCTCTTTTTCTCTCTCATTTTCACACTACTAGTTTGCTCCTTTCCTTACTGCCAATGTTAGAATACAGTAAAAGTGCAAAAAGAATCTTCTAGATCTGGGCTTCTCAAATTTTAATATGCATACAAATCAAACCTAGTTAAAATGAGGATTCTGACTCAGTAGATCTGGGGTACAGCTGAGATTCTGCATTTCAGTCTAGCTCCCCGGCGATGTTGACACTGCTGCTCTGTGAGGCACACTGGAGGCCAGGTCTAAACAACACTGAAACTCCAAACAAGGAAACACATAATAACCTGGGTTTGAATCCTCACTCCACTACTTAACTAGTTTGAGCAAGTCCCTTAACCTATATAGGCTTTAGTATTTTCTCCCCTCAAAAAAGAATGATGATACTCATTTCCATTTTATGAGATGTTCTTTTTTGATGACTAAATGAGGTAGTCCATAACAACACTTCATAAAGTGCCTAACAAATAGAATTTGCCAGCTACTAGCTATTATTACTTATGCATTTGACAGACATCTGTTTGGTGATAATGACTTAAGAAGGTGGCTTCAACACGTACAGGACCTTCAATATTTGGGAGTAGGCACAGGCACAGTGGAAAAGAATACCATAAGCATATGAAGAGGAAAAGAAGAAACCTACCTTCTACTTTACAGTCAAAAGCATCCCCTGCTTCATCTCCAGGGGGCTTGGAGTGAGATTTTTGAAGGTCTTCTTGAGCACTCTCAATGCTATTATAAACCCATTGTATGGAATCTTGCTGGAAATGAGGGGGGAAAGAAACCTCAGAGGTATTAGTGCTTCCTAAAATGCATGCCCGTTTCACAAACCTGCTTCAAAAGGAGACTTGACCTTATTTATTCCTCTAGCTTCTTTAAAAATAGTAAAATTTGAAAGAGAGATACAATTAATATCAGAAACTAATAAAAACTCAAGGACAATTATATTGTTTAACAAACACACTTTCTTTCTTCCTTCCTTTCTTCTTCTCTTCTCTTCTCTTTTCTTTTCTTTTTTTCTTAGACAGAGTTTCCCTCTTATTGCCCAAGCGGAGTGCAATGGTGCAATCTCGACTCACCCCACAACCTCCGCCTCCCTAGTTCAAGCAATTCTCCTGCCTCAGCCAACCGAGTAGCTGGGATTACAGGCATGCGCCACCACGCCTGGCTAATTTTGTATTTTTAGTAGAGACAGGGTTTCTCCATGTTGGTCAGGCTGATCTCGAACTCCTGACCTCAGGCGATCCACCTGTCTTGGCCTCCCAAAGTGCTGGGATTACAGGCGGGAGCCACCACACCTGGCCTAACAAACTGACTTTTTAAAGCTTCAAGTTTTATCTTCCAAGATATGTTCCAAAGATGTGTGTTTTTAAATAGGATATATTCCCAAATGTCTTACTTAAATGTTTCAAGTATATCTTAAGTAAGTTATAAATCACATTTTAAAATAATCAAATGTGGCTGGGCATGGTGACTCACACTTGTAATCTCAGCACTTTGGGAGGCTGAGGTGGGAGGATTGCTTGAGCCCAGAAGTTCAAGACCAACCTGAGCAATGTAGTGAAACCCCATCTCTTATTAACAAGACAGCAAAATAAAACAATTGTGAGATGGACAGTTGTCTGATGAATCAATTATCTATAATGGTACAAATCATTTACATGTTCTCCTAATAGTCAGATATATTCTAATACATTTACTGCTATTTTAGAATCAAACAAATATGAAAATTGGAAGGACATCATTCATCTCATTGATCAACTGTCTTTTAATCCTCCCAAATAAAAAAATCATCCTACTTTTAAGGGCGATTTCCTTAAAAATTATCCTATATTTTAACAGCAGTTCCAGTCTCATTTAGAGAAATGAGAGAGATGAGATGACTATCAAACAAATGCTTCAAGAGTTGCATTACTTTAAGGTTTACAGATTTTCTAGATAAGATGTTAAATCAAATTAAACTGCATTATTGAAGTATGATACAATATGTATTATTTGTTTTGTATTAGCTTCTCAAGTGTGTCTAATTACTATATTGTTACAAATCATTAAAATGTTAATTAATATTTGATCATTCCATTACATCTTGGTGCCCTGTTGTGGCCACCAATGAGCCACACTGCTTAGTTTCCCACACTGACTCTGGGCTTGGCCACACGATTTGACTTGTCCAAAGGGATACTAGCAAGCACAGTCTAAGCAGGTTTATTACTTGTAATGTTCCCTCTTAAAATTCAGACACCATGCAGAAAAAAAAAACCCTGCTAGAGACTGGAAAGAAAGGCCATGCAAAAGCACCCTGGAGGGTGACCTGCCCCATGGAAACCGAGGCCTCAGACAGGGGAAGCAAAGGTGTCCACTCGAGTCCCAGCAGAATGCAGCCACATCAGTAACCTCATAGGAACTACCCCACAGCTGCCCCATAGAATCAAGACAAATAGTCAATTATTGTTTTAAGCCACTAAGCTTTGGAGTGGTCTATTTTGCGGCAATGGATATCTGGGAGAGCATGTTAGTGGATTTTTCTGTACATTTATTGCTTTTCCTTAATTATTTCACTGATCAACACCTCTGTAAGACGGTAGGCAGGGAAAATAAAAAGAAATGAAATTCAAATTGATCTGTCTGCTTATTAACATTCTGGTAGAAGAGAAAAAATTTGATCACTTCAGAGGAGACTTTAAACATTCATTCTATAATACAGTTCAACAAATATTTATCAAGCTACTATCAACCAGAGTAACCTATGAGCCTATGTATAACTTCCAATTTGCTATGCTAGATCTGACCACCTTTTTTTTTTTTTTTTTTTTTTTGAGACAGAGTCTCGCTCTGTCACCCAGGCTGGAGTGCAGTGGCCGGATCTCGGCTCACTGCAAGCTCCGCCTCCCGGGTTCACGCTCTTCTCCTGCCTCCGCCTCCCGAGTAGCTGGGACTACAGGCGCCCGCCACCTCGCCCGGCTAGTTTTTTGTATTTTTTTAGTAGAGACGGGGTTTCACCATGTTAGCCAGGATGGTCTCGATCTCCTGACCTCGTGATCTGCCCGTCTCGGCCTCCCAAAGTGCTGGGATTACAGGCTTGAGCCACCGCGCCCGGCCTGACCTTCTTATTAAGTAAAACTGATCACCTATTTTCATGTGGATTCAGTGTTTTGCAGGCCATCAGCAATGGCTTATGAGAAAATGGCCATTCATCTTCCGGGTTTGGAGACAGTCACATCCTCAGATCCAGAAATGAATACTTTATTATGCATGACAGGAAAATACAAGGCTTCTCCTGTAAAGTTCTGCCTGCATCTAGCCGATTAAATTGCAGGAGTTTTCTCTTATATGCCAATACTCACATTTTCTTCATAATAGCTTTGCTTATGAATTATGATTCTAATTTTAGTTTTTTGTGGCACTTGTAGATCAAAGGGTAGTGTTTTACAATGTTAGATAACGCCGAGTACATTTTGGTATTTTCCTTTAAGAGATAAATGCAGTTCCCTAAATACATTTTGGTATTTTCCTTTAAGAGCTAAATCCAGCTACCTAAATAAATATACCTCAGAATCAATCACAGACCTTATAAAACCCATAATTTTTGCTTTTTCACAGAAGTCTTCTAATAAAGAGTATAAGTATTTATGGTTCATGCATGCAGACACAGACACAATGATCATTATGTATTCTAAAGCAATCACAAGGGCCAAGAAAACAGTTCAAACCTTTGGATTTCGTTTGATAAAACTCGTATCTCAATGAAAATGAAAGTACCCCAGATCACTTTTTAAACAGATGGCAGTACTGTAATAATAAAATGTAACCATTTAAACACAATCAATTATAACTAATTATGCAGATAAAGCAATCATTATGAGATTTATAATGCTGTGTTTAATTTTAAACTTAAAATTGGAAACCACAAACATCTCTGGCACTATCCCACCTCGCCCCTTAGGTCTTTATGCAAGTAGTCACTCAGATCCAGATTACCCGAAGGGCCACTTACCTTCATTGGCCGCCTGTACTTCCTGCAGGCTGTAACGTGTGCAATGACACTGGCATGTGTCTCTTTGCTTACATTGATTCCATTCACCTTGATAATGCACTGTCCAGGGTGAAGGCCAGCTGCTGCAGCCACAGTTCCTTTAAATACAAATGGGAAAATAACCAAAAACTAATTTCAGGAACAAGATTCATTTTTATGATATATACAATTATGGAAGCAATTTTAAAATACGATCAAGGTCTAGCTAGTATAATCTTGATAAACTTGGTTCTGAGAGCAATGCCCTCTCAATACTTTTCTGCTTTTTAACTTAACTTTCAAACGGTGATCAATAGAGTATTTCTCACCTCCCTAAGAATTAGTTTGAAGGGATGTTGCAAAGTGACCTTTATAATACTAATCAGTTCTTTTTCCTTCCAAATGTCTAGTCAATCTTTCTAAATATGCATATCTAATGGCAAAATGAGAAGACCAGAAACATATGCCTTCCTTCTCTTCCTTTATTCTACAATATTTCTAAATATTCAAATAGTATTCACTTTTGTTTTTTAAAATGACAACAACTTAACATACACATAAAAAAGAAAATCCTTCAGAGAAAAATAAAGTCAATGAGCAACTATGATTGGACTGGTTTTTCCAAGAAAAATAAGAGTTTGAGATATATACAAAAAGTCAGAAACAGGAGAATTTGTAGAGAACAGAATTAATGAGATAACATCACTCATCCAGTCATTTTGTTTGCATTGATACAGATTCAAATATGGAAGTAACATATCCTAACCAGTGAGCTACGGTTTCTCAGAACCTTCCAATTATTGTTGACAGTGTGATCAAATCAATATTAACAAAGTACCATTAATAAATACGTGTAATGAATACAATGCAAATAATTAATACAAATGATTACAAACTTATAAATATGTTAGAAGAGACTTCTTTTGTGACCAACATCTCTCATAAAGAAATTATTAAACATCTTTAAGAAAATAATTTACATTCAAGAATTTATCTTCGCATTTCTTCTTAGTCCCCATAAAATTCACTCCTAGAAATGCTAAGTGGTTTTCTGCATTGAATTGAGTCTTAGGGGAAAATGGAAAATTATCAGCAGAAAGAACAGCCTGAAAAATGGCATTGCTTCCAGAAATCACCTGGCCATTTGGAAGCATCCAAGCTGTTCTGTTTGTGGGAGCTTAGAATGGGAGTGGCTGGAAGAGACAGGATTGGAGAGTTGAAAAGAGCTGGACTGTGAAGTCCTTGCCTTGGCTAAGAGTCTCAACCTTGCTAAAAATGGAAGACTCCAAGGGCTTCATGTCTGAAAAGCTGAATTTGTCTGTAAAGTGGGAACAAGTTCATCTTGGGATATAGGAAGCAATTTTGAGGAGTAAAAAAAAAAACTCATCAAGGACACATTTTAAAAAATGCTGAATAGTAATATGTGCCCAGTAGAAGACAGTGAATTGGGAGAAGCTAATTCAATAACCATGATGGTTTTTCTAGCTACAAGGGAGAAAGACAGAAGACGTGGTTAGGCTGATCTAAGATTTAAGTGCAGTAGCTTGGATGCAGCTGAGGGTGGGGGCCAGGGGAGCCTGGGGATGCTGGCAAGCGTGACTGCAGTGACCCACATGAGAAATCTCTTTTTCTTGTGGCAAAATTACAGTGCCAAAAAATAACCAAATATCTTTTCATTTCATACACATCTGAAAGAGGAAGCACTTGAGCATTTCTGTCTTGTACTCTTCAGAAGCAAAAAGCACAGAAACCAGATGTAGGCCAACCCCATCACTAAGCTCCAAAGATAGAACCTTGCTCTTTAAATGACATTGTAATAAGCGAAGAGGTACAGCTTGATTCACTCAGGCTTTCAGCTATTTTATAGCACTATTAACGTGAATTATTCCTTTTTGGCTTCGTGAAAATGCAGAAGATATTTGGTGTCTCAATATCCCATTTCAGTTTGACAATATTTAATGAGTTATTGAGAAGGTTTCAACTGTCTATCCATCTGCATGTTTTAGAAATCTGAGAGAAAAAAACAGGTTTCTGAAATTAGATTTTTTTAATCATACATACAATAATAAAAGTAATGTTATAACAAAGGTCTAGCTAGTATGTTCTTGATAATTTGATTCTGATAAAAACGCCCTCTTAAAATCTTCTTGCCAAAGTTTTGGGTGATCACATCAAGATACTTTACATTCTTTAGTAATAAAAAGCATGTATGTCTTTTGCTAGATAAACACACGATTTCTTATGCTAATAGTGACACTTCTTGCTGTAGACCCAAGTTATTTACTATGTTTAGCAATGTGGGATCTGAGAGTTATTTCCTTCAATTATTACTAGTGTTAATTTAAAATTTAAAAAATACATATGATAAGAGATGTCAATAATCAAACAAAAAAAGAATAAATATAAACATAACTTTTTAGTCACTAAAATTATTGAATTTAAAATGCATCTTATGATGAGTTTTAACCACGGTTTATAGAAGTACCTGAAGGAAGTACTTTATAACCTGAAGGTTATAAAGTCCACAGATCAGCTTTAAACCTGAAAACCCACAACTTTGGATTACTGACAAAGAAAAACAATTACTTGAAATCAAGAAAAATACAAATAGAAAATCTTAAATTTATTATATTCTTTGGATAAACTAAAGGATTCAGAAAAGTGAGATTCAGGCATCATTCTTATATCAAATTTTTAACAATGATCAACAGGCCTTAGAATTTTTTAGTTTTTTTAATGCTTCTGGAATGTGCCACCATTGAGTTAATACAGTGAAAATATAATTGAGAATCATAACAATATAATTCTGCCTGTTTTAAACACATTCCTGTTCTGTCGGGCACATCCCAAACCTGCTGGAAAGCTGCTTCCCTGCAAGATAAATTTCCTACCTCTTCCTACAGCATGCACAACGGAAGGGCCAAATCCTCGGATCTGGAAGCCAAGTCCATCAGCTGAATCTGGAATTTTCACTGTCCTAAATTGATCAGAAAATAAGGTAAAATGAAGTGCAAGAATCAAAACTGGCTAAAATAATCATCATGTACACCTTCACACTTCTCAATAAATACCTATTGAGGATCTACAGTGTGAAAGATGTTGGGCTAGAAATCCATGGAGACTAACGTGGTCCCCATCCTCACGCAATACAGAGTTTCTAAACTGAACACAGTCGTTACATAGTAAAGCCTGAAAAAGGAACATTGGGGTGTAATGGCTTGATCACTGCTCACTGCAGCCTCAATCTCTCTGTCCCAGTGATCCTCCCATCTCAGCCTCCCAAGTGACTGGGACTACAGGCACAAGGTGACACCATGCTTGGTTATTTTACCTTATTTTTTTCATTAACACAGGGTCTCCTACATTGCTCAAGCTCATCTTAAATGACTGGACTCAAGTGATCCTCCTGTCTCAGCCTCACAAAGTGCTGGGATGACAGGTGTGAGCCACCACACCTGCTTAAACCTAGCCTTGAATGTTCATGTAGTCAGTTTGCAGCCAGATAACTTGGATAAGTTAACTATTCTGACACAGAAAATTTCACAGAAAGATAACATTGTTAAAAGTTATTTTGCAGGGTATCTGTGGCAATGAATAAGAAATAACCTTGGTAAGTTGCCCTGTACTGTGCTAAGAGCTATACAGGTGCTTAATAAAACAGAAACTTTTCTCTTTAGTTTACTGTTACAAAGAAAAAAAGAGGGACCTATGAAATTCTTTATAAAAATTAATATAACAGAAATAGAGAGTTAATACATTTCTACCTATTGGGAGCTTTATCCAAGAACAGTGAAGAGCTAGTTATAAAGAACAGATCTGTCAAACACGGTATCAAAATATTTTAAGAAAATGATTCACTTTAGTATTTACACAATGAATGTTTAAAAGAATAATACATCAGAAGACAAATGTGAATAAGAGAAGAAATCATTCCAATGAATCTACATCAAAAAAAAAAAAAAAAGATTACGAAGAGATGGAAAACTTGAGTAAGCTGTCATGGTAAACCAGTCAGCGGTGTCCAATTTGGCACTCACAAATAAGATACTGCACAGAAGAAAGCCAGAAATCAGATAACAACAATGAAAAGCACAGAGCTCCAGATGCGAGGGAACATCATAACAATACGAGCATGATATTGCAGCCGGGAACAAAAAGAAATGAATACAATGCAATAAATTGTGATAGATAGCCCTTGATGCCCAAGAAACAAACGTGTTTCCCAAAAGATGAATTAATCGTAAAATAAACGTCAGCAGCACTTCAAGGGCATATTAAATACAGTCTGAAGGTAGATACAGCAGGACTTAACTGCAGCTTATGAAATCACTGTGGGAGAGAGTTTGAGCAAAACTAAGGGTTCAAACACTTCAGAAAGCCATAGGCCACATTTAGGCCTAAGGTAGAGAGGCTGGCACTGCAATCTCAAATATAACCTAGGCAGGCATTCGGGGATAGAAATGAAGATTTTCTGCTCTCGGAAAACTTGAGAGTATTATTATAAATTAGGTTATACGCTATGAAGTTATCTGTATGTATGTGGGATCGAGGTCACAGAATTAATGTATCCTTTCTCCTTCATAGTTTTTGGTGTACAGGGCTGTATTCATTTCCTTTGAATAACACATAGTTATCCGTGTTTGTCAAAGTTACACTTGAAAATGAAAGATAACTGACCAAAGAAAGAAACAGGGAATGAATACATATTCTGGTGAGTCTGAAACAAAAACAGAAGCAGTTCATGCTTCCATATATTACGAATGAGAGTTCACTTCTGCTGAAACAACATAGAACTTTCAGGCCGTGGTGAATTATTGTTGCTTTTGGATTCTGAGTAATTCACAGTGGCCTCTCAATCTTTCTGAGCAAGGTTTTTCTATCCTTCTAACATTGCTATGGAAGGCTGACTCTAATATTTAAGAGAATTATTACTTTTTCCTTAATCAAAATTGTACAAAATACCATGACATGCATTTTGGTCCAAATTTTGGAACCCCTCTAATAAAATGATCTTTAGAGAACATGTTTCCCTGGTGACAACATTATATTCCCTATTAAAAATGAATTACGCTTATACAAGAGGGATGCTCTATTTCCTACAGAAAATAAGTGTACTAAATTATCTGCTACAAAGTCTTTTGAAAAATCCCTTGATGTTATCAAGTATGAAGTATAGCCAGAATCAAAAGAAAATTCTTTTGCATTTACCTCTCATATTTTTCCCTTTTCCTCAAAAATGGGATACTACTTAAATTCCAAGAAGCTATTGTAAGAAAATATGACAGTGATTTATAGAACTCATACATCAGAATAAGGACATAAAGGAAAAGTTATTTATTTCAAACAAATTTTTAAAAATTAGTATGCTATCTTCAAAAAAAATGAGTATGCTATACAATGCTCTTGATACATGCTCTTGATATAATAAAGTAGCAATGAAACATAAGATGAGAAGACAACAGCATCATATATAACATCACTGGGCACTTACTATGTACTGGATACTTCACTAAGTTCTTTACAAACCTGGTTTTATTCAACATTCTTTGCAGTTTCATGGCACAGGTACTCTTATCCCCATTTTATGGATGAGGATGTGAAGTTATACACTTAGCTAGCAAGTAGTGGAAGAGAGGCTTGAATCTGGAATCTGGAGCTCTAGACACAGCGCAACAAACACTAAGAAGAGTCAGAAGACACAGATTCCTATTCTGCTCATCTAGCAACTAAGTCTACGACTGAGGATTTGCTCCTATTTATTCAATTTTGAAGTTGATGGCCTCGAAGTCTCTAACTGTTGGAATGTCTCTGAGCAGTGGACCAGTATTTGTAGGTTTAAATTGGGGGTCAGGGGGCCCTAGGGAGACCTAATGATTGCTTTGAATGCTACTCCCTTATTCCTTTCCAGTCTGTCTTCTTCCTTTTAAATGCCCTCAAAGTGTCAGGAGGTGGGCAACCAGGATAGTCTTCTCCTAGGCAGAGTTGAATAAAGGGAGAGGAACAGACCATAATAAGGTTCAGAGGGAAGACATTGCTGTGCTTCTTTGCTGCCCTCTAGCCCAGTCTTCCTACATTAGTAAAAAGTGAGTTTCATGCTCACTCTTTCAGACCTCTTGGTAAACTATTGGTAGAAGCTAAAGCATCTACTTTAATGAATTCACACTGCCTTGAAGAGACCCACTAGGGAGAACCCAGCCCACTGCACTGCACTTTGCCTCTTAAGATAAACATCGCAGAAGTACATCCAGCTATTCCTGAATATATATAACATAGTATTTAAACATATTACATATAAATATGTATTTTTACATATTAAAATATATTTAAGGCAGGTAAGAATACTTATATTTTAATAGGTAGTTAAAATTTTAAAAATCTTGTTTTTGAAGTGCTAAACTTCATTTGCTTTAAAACTAATGAAGTTGCTTATCATGATTGACAAATGATACAAGTAAAATTTAAACAATAATCTTTATATATTATGCTAAGTACTTTGTACATATTATCTCAATTAATTAATTGGTTAAACAATTCAAGGTAAATCTGATAAGGAAATACTGAACCATTGATGGAAATGATTTGCACAAGAAAAGCCCATGGCTTGCAAGTATATGCACAGTATGTTACTAAAAAGTAGCATACAGAGCATGCTATCATTTTGTGGGTACCTGATTGTGTATACGTGTACCAATACTTTAAAAACTTCAGTTAATGCTTAATTTCAAAAGAATAACAATGGCTATTTATGGGTGATATTGTAAGAAAAAAATATGTCTCCCTTTAGAAGCATTTATATTCTCTACATTTTCTATAATAAACATAACATTTTTTTCTAATCATAGGTATATAGATAATAGAATTTTTTAAAGAAATGGACAAATTACTAAGCACATGCAAGCATGGATTATCTTGCAGTCTTTTTGCATCTCTTATGAGTGTTGAATTACAAATGGTACCTAACCATTTGATAGCACCAGAAATTCTTATAGCCGAACATGGAGAAACACAGTTCTTTATTCTCAAATGTTCTACTAGTTTAGTTTTCTTCACTCGTAGTAAAATCCAGTTCAACCCAGACCAGGAAAATTTGGGCAGCAAAAGAAAAGCATTATTTCTACAAAAACTACAGGATTCAAGTAACACTTATTTTAACAACAAAAACAAAGGAACCTTTCCCAACAACCGGAAAACAAGAATAAGGAAAACGGGGAAGGTCAAAAGGTCCAAACAAAGAAAAGCCTAATTCCAAACAATTAACTAAGTAACCTTTCCGGTTTAACTAACCAAGGGAAAACTTAAAAAAAAAATCACACATAAATCATACAACTTACTCTCTTGGTTTCGTGCTCACAAGAACTCTTAGAGGTTTTCTGCTGTTTAAACACGATTTCAGGAAGCAGTCGACTTCACTGAAAGGTCTCATAAAAACTAGGTCTCCATTAATAGCAAAAATCTTTTTCCCAACTTCCATGCCAGCCATCTAAGGGAGAAATTACAAAAAATAAGTCAAAGTATATTTTAATAAGAAATTTGAGTTTTTCACAAAATCAGAATATGAAAACTTTCAGAGCTTATAGATTTTGACATTTTAACACACCTGCAGTGTTTTTATACAAATTTACAAAGCAGAACTGTGGATGAGATAACATGGTTATCATTCTCTTTGGCCTAGTTTTAAATTTGAACACAGAACTTTACCAAAATTATCCCCATTTCCCTCCCTGATTTAACATCATACTCCTCTCTTCTGTTGTATTTCACTGTTCTTTGGCTTATTTCATCCTTTTAACTATAATCAAATTCCAGGTTAGTTTTTTTACTGTGTTTTCCACCTATAGCCAATTAACTCAGGAAGTGTCAACTTCTGTATCTACATCAATGACACCCAAATATGCATCTCTAGTCTGACATAGTTCAAGTGGCAAGGGAGAAAGGGAGCCTGGAATCCAAAGAAGAGAGCTCCAACCAGCAGAGCTGTCAACAGCGCAAGCTGCTGAAAAGAGGACAAGGAAGACATTATTCCTCCACACCAACCAGCATGCACTTCTCAACCAGCCTTACTGCCTAAACACGACCTGCTGTTTTGGTTATCAGCTAAATGATGAAAACCTGAGAGAGGGCATTTTATTAGCAGCATAGTCAGATGCAGCTGTGCTCTAAGACCATCCTCTGAAAACACCTGGGAGAAACTATTTCCTTCTCATAGACAATTACTACAAATGGTCATTAGTTGGCCAGGTCCGCTAACAGTGCCTACGTTGATCAGAGTTATTTTGTTTGAAATTAGTGTGCTGTACAGAAAGCTTTGTCTTGCATGAACTTGTGTTTTGATAAAACAGAGACCTTTGGCATTAGCAGATAGGAGGATGGGTGGCAGTTTACCACTGACTTTAAACAGGTTCAAATGTAAATACCATACTTCGTTAATTTTCATATTCATTAAAGATCTAAATATTGAGAAGTTTGCTTGAGGATTAAGTATCTTCCACCCAGGGGCACCAACGTGAGGACACTTTAAACTAGATATACTTGGGCTATAGCACTGAAAAGTAGGGTCTATGAGGGTGGGGGATTTTGTGTCTTGTTTGTTGCTGTATTCCCAGAGCCTGGAACACTGCTGAGTATGTAACAGGCACTAAATGAGTACTTCTTGAATGAATGAATGAATTAATTAATTAATTAATGATCAGGAGTTTTTTTGTTTAAAAGGCTGGCAAAATTGCTGGATGCAGTGGCTCATCCCTGTAATCCCAGAACTTTGGAAGGCTGAGGTGGGCAGATCACTCGAGGTCAGGAGTTTGAGACCAGCCTGGCCAACATGATAAAACCCATCTCTATTAAAAAGAAGAAAAAAAAAAAATCAGCTCGGCCTGGTGGCATGGGCCTGTAATCCCAGCTATTCTGGAGGCTGAGGCAGGAGAATCACTTTAGCTCAGAAGGCAGAGGTTGCAGTGAGCCAAGATCACACCACTGCACTCTAGCCTGGGTGACAGAGGGAGAGTTTGTCTCAAAAAAAAAAAAAAAGGCTGATGAAGTGAGAGAACATCAGGAGCATTAATCCAATGAGAAAACAGTCAAAGCATGTCCTTCAGTGATGAAAGTTATACTCACACAAAAGACTGTCAATGGTGATGGGAAAACAGAAGACACGACTCTTGACAGAAAGGAAGAACCATCTGCTGTGCATAATACAGTGCTACCCTATGCTGTCTCCGTGGGGCTCCAGGTTGGAGTCTGCGATTCGTGAAGCTCCAGGAACAAAGAATGAGCCACTTGGCCTCCCAGAAGGTCAAGAAATTCACAGTCGAAGAGCTCTAGAACAGGGGTCCCCAGTCCTCAGGCTGTGGACCAGTATGGGTCCAAGGTCTGACAGGAACCAGACGCACAGCAGGAGGTGAGCGGCGGGTGAGTGAGCATAAAGCCTGAGCTCCACCTCCTGTCAGATCAGTGGTGGCATTAGATTCTCATAGGAGCGCGAACCCTATTGTGAACTGAGCATGCGGGGGATCTATGTTGACCACTCCTTATGACACTCTAATGCCTGATGATCTGAGGAGCTACAGTTTCATCCCCAAACCATCCCCCACCCTCCGCCTGTGGAAAAATTGTCTTCCACAAAACCAGCCCCTGGAACCAAGAAGGTTGGGGACGGCTGCTATAGAATACACACCATCTCCCAGCCCCTATTATCCCTGAGTGGCCAGACAGGACTCAGCTGCTGATAATCCCAAAGGTATTCAGTAGAACCTGTGAGTAAGATTATCCAGAGACATTATGTTCAATACGGATAATTTCAAGGCTGATTATCTTTAAAGGCAGATTTCAGTTTGTTTAGAATTTCTCTATTTTTATGTCATGACAACACATTTAAATTAAATTCTAATTTACATTACCTCAGCATTAGATCCCCTTTCTACCAACTTTATTATTGGAACTTTGTTTTTGTCTTCTAGCCCAAAGCCATAGCTGCCTTCATTGGATTTAATCTGAAATGCAAAATATTAACATTACTGATAAAGCAACTATGAAAAAAATTACAAGTCTAACAGAACGAAGTAAGGTGCATCACCATCAAACATGTTTAACGCAGTCTTCTGCTAATGTCTATAATCAAGAAGAAAACTTATATAACATATCAATAAACTTACCAGTAATGACTTAGCTATAACATTTTCCACAACCTTTAAGTCATGTTTCATAAGTCGATGTTTCATATTTGATCCTTCCATTTCCTCATCCGAAAAAAACCGGAAAAGTAGGGGTTCATCTTTGAATTCGCTTTTTTCAAGGACTACAGAAAAAGAGATTCAAATTATTTCAGCTAATTCAAAAATCGAACTCATTTTCAATAGCAGTGACATTTATAAATTAATACCTGCACCCATAACCTCAATTTTATACTCCTAGGACTAGTTACATTCACAAGTAGCCCTGGCTTTTGTTTTGTTTGTTTTTTTCTATTTCTTTCTATAATTTTGAGCCAATGTCTCCTTTCAATTACTTTTACCTACAGGATTTTGAATTTTTTAAAACAAATAGTATTTCTTCTAAGGCTGACTTTTTAAAATTTAACCAAGTCCTTCGCTTTCCAGATTAAAATCCAAATTTAAATAAAAGACTATAATGAATCAAAAAATGCATGCATCCAAAACATAGAAATTTATGGTGTTTTCAATTTGTAGTAAACATTTTATGCATGTTTTTAATATCCCACACAATTATGGGAAAATTCAAGTGGGTTAAGTGTTGCCTTCTGTGTGTGAACAACTCCCATTGTGTTCACTTTTGTTCCAACACTTCAAACCAGAAATATGTCTTCTGGGTGAAATGTGATTTTAGTTTCCACGAATTCATGTTTCTTTTCTGTTTAAAAGCAATATTCTCAAATAACATTATTTCTAAAAGGTCTGGTTTTTCCCCCTTATCTGAACATTAGTATTTTCCCCAAAATCCCCTAAGATTCTTGGAATGCACTGATGAAATAAAGTTTATGTTTTGTTAGTATTTTTTAAAATAAGGCTAAATACTGATACGAAGAATTTGTATTCAGTGAAATCCTGACAGCTGTCAAAATACTTTACCAAAAAAGTTCTCTATTTCTTATTTATCTGTCCTTAATACCTTGAAGGTTGATTCATTGAGCCAGAGACTAAAAGAAAGTGATCCCAGGGCACAGTAGAAAAAGTTAGGTTTTGTGATCAGACAGGCCTGAGTTTAAATTCCAGGTCTGGAAGTGAGATAAGAAAGTTACTTAATCCCTCTGAGTTTCAGTTTCCTCATCTGTAAAGTGGGAGCAATGAAATCTTCTACATATTGTTGCATAAAACCAAAATGAGGTAATAAATATAAATAACTTGGCATATAGTAAGCAGTCAAAAGGGACAGCTATTTGGTTTCATTATTTTTACAGAGTTCCAACAAATAATTGTTGACTGGATGAATGGCTTTATTGATCTTTGGTTGAAAGACTGGATGGCAACATGAGTTAACAAATAAAATTATCAACCACAAATTTAAGAAACAACAGAAGCCATAACTAGCAATAGAAATGAGAATCTATTATTATTTCATGTTTTTTTAGAGATGGGATCTTGCTATGTTGTCCAGGCTGGTCTTGAACTCCTGGGTTCAAGCAATCCTCCCACCTTGGCCTCCCAAAGTGCTGGGATTACAGGCATGAGCCACTGCGCCTAGCTCAGAACCTATTTTAGATTCACTTAATGATCTAAGCATTTTCCCAAAGCTCATTCAACGTTTCTGCTACAGCTGTTTCCCTCCACCAAACTGTCTTTTAAAAGGAGCATTATAGGGCATCAACAAAGCCAGGCACGAGCCACACTGTTCATGCTTTACCCACAGACTTTTGTATGAAAAACTTTTGATGTAACTCAACATTTTGTAATAAACTCTCAGATAAAATTACTGTGTGTTGGTGCTTTACTTTAAAGGAAAAAAAAATTGAAACTTTTGCAGGTTTTCAGCTTGATATTATGGGTTTAATCCCCTAACATGATGTAATTTCTTCCATCCATAGTTTGTTCTTCAAGGATCAGTATTTCTCCGGGACAACTCACAGAGTGATCTGGAGATAGGGAAACAGGATGGAATTTCCCCCCAAAAAACGATAACCATGGATCTTCTCAAAATCACTGTAACCTTTGCTGTACTTCCGTATTCATAAAAATGTAAAGATATTCTGAAAGTAACTGACAAATAGGTGTAAGTGCTATCAAATATATGTTTATAAGCATATTATATTAATAATTTAAAAGAGGCCAGGCATAGTGGCTCACACCTATAATCCCAGCACTTTGGGAGGCTGAGGCAGGCAGATCACTTGAGGTCAGGAGATCAAGACCAGCCTGGCTTGGTGAAACTCTGTCTCTACCAAAAAACACAAAAATTAGTTAGATGTGGTGGCATGCACCTGTAGTCCCAGCTACTTCAAAGGCTGAGGTGGGAGAATCACTTCAACCCATGAGGCAGAGGTTGTAGTGAGCTGAGATCACATCACTGCACTCTAGCCTGGGTGACAGAGTGAGACCCTGTCTCAAAAAAAAAAAAAAAAAAAAAAAAGAAAAGAAAAGAGATGACTGCTTGGGTTGGGTTTATGGATCCTATACGATGTTACAAATAGGAAAAGCTTACTCTCATTACCCTGATAAATCTAAGAACTTTATTTTAAAATTCTTGTTTGATGACTTACTTGAAGTCACCCCAGGGCACGATAGAAAGAGGTTTTGTGATGACTTACTTGAAATCATCAAACAAGAAAGAAAATTAACATTTAATTATCAAAAATAATTTTTTCCTAGAGATCTATAATTTTGTTCTCTGAAGTAATTTTAAAAATACTTTTCTTAAAAATAACAGTAAATAGTCAACCACATATGCTGTCATTTAGTCATTCTAATATATACTGGCATTCAAAATAAAACCACACGTCTAATCTGAAATAGTCTCAAAGAGGTTTGCGAGCTTAAAAACAAAACAAAACAAAAACTTCTAACTCAAGTCATTGCTCTTCTAGAATCAGCATAGGCTAGAAAAATAGGATAGAAGTCATGGCAATGGGTAGATAACAGCAATTAGACATAGGAATGGCACCAGCAGTGAAACCGAATGCAGTTGTGATGACCCAACCTGAACCCATAGCAAGACCCAGATAGTCTTGCTGGCTCATCTCCAAATGACCTAACTGCAGCACTGGGTGTTCCAGTATCCTAAGAACCAAAGTGATGAAATACATCTGTAAGCTCCCAGGGTAAAAAATCCCTACCATGGTGCATAAATCCATTGTCACAGAGTCCAACGCCAAATATCATTGCCTCTTCTCTGGTGCGGCAATCTCCCTGTTAACCGAAAAAGCACTGTGGGAGTTAATAGGCAACTAAAGGCTTTGTGGCTGCTTTGCTCCATTTAACATTCCCAGCACCAAATTCAGACAAAGCTTCGCTTATAAAGCATGCATGCTTTATAAGACCAAATGCATCTAATTGTTACAGAACATCTGATTGATTATGAAAACATTTTCTTTTGGCATTAAGTAAAACAAAGATTTAATATTTCTTGAGAAACAAATATACTTTATTATACACAAAACTACATAAGTAACAAAAATTTACTGCTACTGTAAATGATGGCTGTTATTTCTTAGATTAGATTTCTTAGATTTTGTATTCCAATTATGCAACAGGGAAATATCCTGTAAATTGACAACACACTAATTAAACAATCATTATGTATGATCTCAGTCACTAACTATTCCCTTCCACCAAATGGCCTTGCCCTCTGAGGACCCCTGAAGAAACCTATATTAATACGATGACCTGTAAGACCTCACAAGTAAATCGTTTGGCTGAGCTAGCAAATACAAGCTTCTCTTTCATTATTTTACCAAAAAAAAATCAGATCATTTAACTGAATCCAACATAATAGCCCAAAGCAACCTTTTTCTTTTGGTTTTTATTTATAAAACATCTATTTTATTTCTTTAAGTAGGATCCGTGTATATGAACATGCATGTGTGTGTGTGTGTGTGTGTGTGTGTGTGTGACCTTAGAGTTGTATTGTCACAGTTTAAGAAGCTTTTTTCTCACATATTATCTCATTTTTCCCCAGTCCTATCTTTTAGCACTTAGGTATACTACCAAATCTATTCTCTCCTCTCTGCCTTCTATTCCATTTCTATTGTCAATACCCTCATATGGTGTTTCTTCCTCTCTCTTCAAAATTACCATAATTTTTTCTGGACTCTTTCTAACATATGCTGTTAAACAATTAAACTTTTTTTTTTTTTTTTAAAGACGGAGTAAAATCACTGTAACCTTTGCTGTACTTCCGTATTCATAAAAATGTAAAGATATTCTGAAAGTAACTGACAAATAGGTGTAAGTGCTATCCCACAACCTTTAAGTCATGTTTCATAAGTCGATGTTTCATATTTGATCCTTCCATTTCCTCATCCGAAAAAAACCGGAAAAGTAGGGGTTCATCTTTGAATTCGCTTTTTTCAAGGACTACAGAAAAAGAGATTCAAATTATTTCAGCTAATTCAAAAATCGAACTCATTTTCAATAGCAGTGACATTTATAAATTAATACCTGCACCCATAACCTCAATTTTATACTCCTAGGACTAGTTACATTCACAAGTAGCCCTGGCTTTTGTTTTGTTTGTTTTTTTCTATTTCTTTCTATAATTTTGAGCCAATGTCTCCTTTCAATTACTTTTACCTACAGGATTTTGAATTTTTTAAAACAAATAGTATTTCTTCTAAGGCTGACTTTTTAAAATTTAACCAAGTCCTTCGCTTTCCAGATTAAAATCCAAATTTAAATAAAAGACTATAATGAATCAAAAAATGCATGCATCCAAAACATAGAAATTTATGGTGTTTTCAATTTGTAGTAAACATTTTAAGCATGTTTTTAATATCCCACACAATTATGGGAAAATTCAAGTGGGTTAAGTGTTGCCTTCTGTGTGTGAACAACTCCCATTGTGTTCACTTTTGTTCCAACACTTCAAACCAGAAATATGTCTTCTGGGTGAAATGTGATTTTAGTTTCCACGAATTCATGTTTCTTTTCTGTTTAAAAGCAATATTCTCAAATAACATTATTTCTAAAAGGTCTGGTTTTTCCCCCTTATCTGAACATTAGTATTTTCCCCAAAATCCCCTAAGATTCTTGGAATGCACTGATGAAATAAAGTTTATGTTTTGTTAGTATTTTTTAAAATAAGGCTAAATACTGATACGAAGAATTTGTATTCAGTGAAATCCTGACAGCTGTCAAAATACTTTACCAAAAAAGTTCTCTA